AGTGATCTGCTACCGATGTTATTAATTCTCTAGTGTAATGAGCCTGAGGGCCATAAAGGGTTACAGCCTTTTTTAATTTTGCTAAATCATCCATATTAAATGCTTCCCATCTAGGGGGAACTGCCTCTCCATCTATTGGCTGAGGCCTGATTACAGGGAAAGCAAAGGCAGGCTTTTTCTCATCAGAATCCCCTAATTTTGGTAAATCAGCCAAAGCTAGCTTGGCTTTACTCCAATTAGGGTTAGATGGAGGAGGTGCAGAGGGAACTACAGGCGGGTTCTGCTTAACGGAGAGTTGTTTCACCTCTTGTGTTAAATGCTGTATAGCCTGTAAAATTGGGCGATTGTCATAATTTGATATTGCTGCGGCAGCTAAAGCTGAGTCGGCTGTAGCGGATTTTACTTTTGGTTTGGACGCCTTTTCACTACTTAAAGCGATAGCGTCATTTTGAACTACATTCTGCTCCTCCTCTGTGAGGGGCAATTCTTGAATAACTGGCTTAATTTCTAGTTGAAGATTTTCTACAATATGTTCATCTTCCATAGCTTTTAATAAAGAGTACACAACCGACCAAATAGCCCAAAAACGTAAAGGAATCTTTTCCTCCTGTTGCATAGCCCTTTCTATACTAACCCTTGCCTTCCTCCATACTTCTACATCCAAAGTTCCTTCATCTGGAAACCAAGGATTATATTCTTTAATTGTATCAATACACATATCCAAGTCAGCTGACCTGAGCGATATGCCATATATAGATAATAAATGTTTAAGAATTTTTAAGAAAGGAGAGGAAGCAGATTGTCCCATTTCCCCGTAATAAAATTATACTTACCTTCCTAAGCGACCTTCGGAGTCCCTGAATTCGGGCGCCACTTGTCGTGAGTGTCTAGAGCACTCTGAACTCCGGGCAAGGTAAACACGCACGCCTTGTCGGGACACGGGGGGTACAGCGCTTGGAAAAGAAAGACAGGAGAGACACCTTTGCTGTCTGCACCGCGTTACACTGCACTGCACTGCACTGTACGCACAATCTTTATTTTAGGATTCATATATAGTAAACCCGATCAATTCACAGAGCCCAGATAATTAAGTAGTGAAAAGGCATTCTTTGTGGCAAGCTACAACGTGACAGACTACAATGTTTATTCTAAAACTATCTAAGTGAAGTAAATAATCACAACCAGTTCTCACAACTTCTCTAGCCCAGGAAGAAATTCATTAGCTCAAGAATGTTGTTAATTTGTCTGCTGTTAGTGTCACAAAGGGTGGCCAGCCACTTCCTCAAGACTTCTGCAAAACAAAGCCAGCTCACAGTATGGATTCCAGAGGGTGAGGGCTCACTGAGAACGGGCATTCCCGTTCTACCTCCTTCTCGCATACCAGGGCGGCTATTGTAAATTGCAGGTTAGAGGGGGTTGGGCCTACAAAGTGACACCTCATCCCCCACACCACATATCTTGTGTTCATGCAGTGTTCAGTGCTGTCTGTTTCACACAAGAGCTGTTGGCAGGGCAGCGCCAACCACCAAGGGAAACTAGCAGGAGACGCCATGGCCCCTTCCTTTTCAAGGGCTCTCACTCACAAGCACCTTCAAACTCTTCTGCTACACCAAGAAGTAAAGCTTCCCTTGGGGGAGTCACATCAATCCCAGTGCCTAACTTTACATTGTTTTCTGGGGGTGGGTGTGGTGGCTGAGGATCACAAGTTCAAGCCCAGCCTGGGCAATCAGAAAGATCCTGTCTCAAAATAAAAAGTGGGCTGGGAACATAACAGTGCAAAGACCTGGTTTCAGGCCTCAGTACAGGGATGGTGGGAGGTTTTCCTGATGGGGGTGGTGAGGGATGAGGAGGAGAATGAGGCAGCAGAAGGCACGGGAGTGGCACAGAACTGGAGAGAAACCTGTTTCTTCTCAGTTTGCCAGACGTACCCAGTGCTCACTTCCATCCATGAGAAAGCAGAGTGTGTGGTCCAAGTATGATGCTTGGAGAGATTTTTGTCTTTTTCCTTCAAAAAAAAAAAAAAATCACAGTGACCTATGCCTGTGGGGCCTTTCTTGAGGAACCACACCCCTGCTGCCCCCTGCCATGGTGCAGCTCCTCATCTCCCCTGCAAGAGGCATCACATGGCTGGACTCTCACTGCCACTGCTCACTGGGGACAGCACTCAGGTCATTAGCACCAAGACCAGAGGTCCTGGCCACAGTCTTAAGAGTGAGCCTTCCCTGCTCCTACACAAAGGGACCAGAGGGGATGCTTGGGACTGGGGAATTTGTCATCCCTGCCTGCCTTCCCAGCCTCACCTTCTCCTCAGGTTTCTGTTGCGTGCTCTGAGTTTCGTTGAATTGCTCACGCACAGTCCTAGAAGCAGGGTTAGGACTAGGGATAAAGCACTCACCACTCCCAGCCCACCAGGGGCTACGGGGAACCTTGGGTGTGGGGCTAGCAGGCTCCTCCGGAGGGAGGCAGACCTGTCATGTGTGTGTAGATTTAGAGCTTTTACTCCACCCCCAGCCCAAGGAACCCATTGTCAAAATCACTCTTGTACAGCCTCCTGGGGCATGCGGCAGAATCTGTGTGCCCAGGCGCTGGCAACCCTTCAGTGTGTCCCAGCCTCGCCCTACGGTTCCCAGGACACACCGTGGGCAGAGTGGCCTGGGGCCAGCCTCCCTCACATCCCCTGGGCCTAAGTGACTCTGGAGGGACAAGGCTGCCCGAGAATGCAGCCCACACTGGCCAGCTCCCTTGGTGTGACCTAGAGTTTCTCTCCTGGCTACAGAAGGGGGAAAGGATGCAGGGAAGCAGTAGTCCAAAGGTTTGGAGTTCTGCTGGGGCAGGTTTGGGGGTTTCTTGCAACCAGCCTCTCTCCCTGCCCCACTCCTCACAGAGAAGATGGCTGACTCCCCTTCTCCTCGATGGCGAGCTCATCATCTTCTCTCATTTCTTACCACTGTAAGAATGGCCAGTCCATCCCTTTGCGCCAGTGCTGTGGTGCTGGAGTCTAGGTGAATGGGGGAAGCTGGAAGGAAAGGCAGTTCCCGTGCAGTTCGCTGTGCTTTCTACACCTCACCCGAATCTGCCTCCCTAAATCATTGAAAAGTAAGTGGGCCCAAGACTTCCAGCATGGTGGGACAGACTGGGAGGTCCAGAGCAGCTGGAGGACCAGAGCAGGAAGAGCCATGGAAGGAGGCACCTGGGCAGGTGCAAGGGCAGGGGCAGCCCTAGGTCCTGAGCTTAGAGGCTGTGGTGGCCTCCCTGAGCTGCAGCCCTGGACCATCCTGCTGGCTGGTGCTGGCCACTGCAGTGAGCTCTGGAAAGAGCCACACCTGCTGTGCTTGGAGACCTCATCACACAGATGTAGTGTTGCTCCCTAGGTTTGGGAGGCCAGGATTTCAACTGAAACTCGGTGCTTTCTGGGGGAACGGAGCTTTCAGACAAGTCCAGTGCACCCTTAGAGCAATAGAGGTGCTGTTGCCAAGGCCAGCAGGTGCACAGGAAAGGCTGAGCTTCAGGTGCAGCACCCTCACCCCAGAAGAGGCTGTGCCTCCCACAATCCTGTGCAGCATGCAGGGATAGTCACTCCCGCCCTCAGGCCTCATCCAGGGCACTGTCCCCTCCCTCCTGGCCCCAACACAGGGATGCTCGCTAGGCTCTGAGTAAGCCTGGGTGCCTTCCCATGCTGCATGGAGGTTGGCTAAGACCTCCTGCTCCCTGAGGTCACTCCCTGCCTTCCAGAAGCCATCCCTGGCACTCCCTGGCCCTGTGATGTCCAGCCTGGTGGTCTTTATAACCTCACGTGGCTAAAGTACTTCATTGCACCTCCCCGTGGTAGCACAAAGAACATTTCTGTCATCGCAGTATTGGGCAGCCTAGGTTTAAAACTTGTACTTTTCCTTCTTAGCACCACTTATCATGTTTTAAAATGTATTTCATTTTCCTCTAGAGTATAAGCTCCATTTGTTTGGAGACTGTATATATAAATCATTCTGGCCATTCAGCCTGGTAACTAGCACCCAGGCTACACCTCATAATTAATCAGTGGGTGGATGGAGTCACAGTACAGCCAGTCTTACATCACAGTATCCCTCGGATAACCGCAAGCTAAGAGCACATGTCCCCCTGGTGGTTGCATTTGTATTTATTTGCATAATGTAAGCTTCAGAAATTTGCCCTTTTGGCCTTTGCTGCCTGCTAGCCCAGTGCTTGTTTTGTTACAAGCTACGGAGCCACCTTAGCCTTGGGTTCCTGGTAAAATTAATCTCCCCCTTGATCCTTTGCGCTGGGCCCTCTTCATTCTGCCATTGTATGGTTAGTGCTGTTGCATCTGTGCTCTTTATTACTCACGCTCTCAAAATCTTTTCAGAAGTGGGCAAATAAAGAGTCACAGCAGTACCACCCAGCAGGCAGTTCAAAGGCATTGGCTTCTCCCTGCTGTCTTGGTCACTTCCTGTTTTTGGATAAAATTCCACCCCCCAGCTCAAAGCACAAGTTTATTTTGGCTCACAGTTTCAGTTATGGTTGCGGACAGCTGACTGCAAGGCAGAAGCAGGATGGCAGAGGAGCACAGAGAGGAAAGACCTCTGGTCCTGGCAGCCAAGAAGCAGAGAAGGAAGGAGCCAGGGATGGAACACACCCTCTAGGTCACATCCCCAGTGGCTGCCTCAGCCCCACTCCCAGCAGCACATTCAGCCCTGAACTACTCAAAGGATGAGTCACTGATGAGCCCAGTACCCCCAGTCTGGCCACCATCCTCCCTCACACATGACACCGAGCACATTTCAGATCTAGCACCACACCACAGGCATGGATGCATGGGCGCCGGAGAGAGGCTGGGCACGTGCTGGTTGCAGTTCCCACTTTCCTCTCCTCAGTGTGTGCAAAGGCAACCCCTTAACTAAGGCTAGAAGGCTAAAAGAATGTGGTGAACCCTGCATCCTCAACCTTCTCCCCAGCAGGTCTCTGAGATTCCCATCGGTAATGCTTGCTGTTGTCCCTTGTCCCAGGGAAGCCTCGATCAGCTGGATGAGGTGGCAGCACTGATTGCCGCCACAGTCCACGATGTGGATCACCCTGGCAGGACCAACTCTTTTCTGTGCAACGCTGGCAGCGAGCTCGCTGTGCTCTACAATGACACGGCGGTACTAGAGAGTCACCACACGGCCCTGGCCTTCCAGCTCACTGTCAAGGATGCTAAATGTAACATCTTTAAGAACATCGACAGGTTGGTTGCTGTCAGGCTGCTGTGCTCAGATCTGAGGCTCAAGTGCAGAACTCAGCTTCCCCTGACTTCTCTGTACTCAGCTTAGGTGAAATGAAAACAGTTGTTGTGCCATTGTGTCAGATGATAAAATAATAACCTGGCCCTCATACGCTTGATTTTACTGTTCAGACTGCCTTTGTGTTTTTAAAATCTCATTTGGTCTTCAGTAAGGTCATAAAAATGTTTTATGTACTGCAAAGTACCATATATATTGATTGTGTTACTAATAGCTCTGGCAGGTATCTTTACCCTCCAAGGATGACATCCTGTCTTTTGTGTAATTCAGAGAAAACTTGTCCTTCCCTGTCCTTTCCCTGCTTCATCTTTGGCCACTAAAAATCCCACCTCTTAGGTGCTTAGGCCCAGCAGCTGAAAGCTGGCCACAGGAGGCCACAGAGACCCAGCCACTCTTGCCCGCACACCATGGATGGGCACCCGCAGCCAGGCAGCACTGCCAGGTGGGGCAGAGCCCAGTGAGGGTGCAGAGCGCACCTGGGCCCCAGACTGCTCATCTACCGTCAGTGTGGTCACCTGTATCAAGGGCGAGTTTTTAAATTTTTGCAGGAAGAATTCTTCTCTACAGTCAGTTTTATTCAGCATCCCATTCTAGCTCTTGTAAGAAAACCAGACCATTATTTTGGGTTTTTGTTCCATTTACTTCTGTTAGTTGCAAGCTTTAGGATTGTTAACAGGAGACCCTTCAGCAGCTGTCAGAGTCAAGTGTCAGAGGCCAGCTGGTTCCTTCGGGAGCCTGTGGGGAGACTCAATGGGGTGCCTTGGGTTGCCACCCCAGCCGTCAACTCCTTTGCCTCATTTCTGGGGAGGGAGATAGGGCTCTCCTTGTGTACAAAATGCCTGCCACGTGACAGGTGCCTTCACCCTCATCACTATGTGAGGAGGGCGGAGCTGTCCTTGGGAGCCAGGGAACAGTGTCCAAGACCCTGGCAATCCCTCTTGTGAGCTGCACTCATTTGACTCTGGCCCCATGTCCTCGGGCTGGGGGACATTTGGCAGAATGGCAGCAGAGCAGTTCTAACACAGGACTTCATGTGACCAAGGCCCACTTCTTTCGGTTATTTCAGGAACCATTATCGAACACTACGACAAGCTATTATTGACATGGTCTTGGCCACTGAGATGACAAAACACTTCGAACATGTGAACAAATTTGTGAACAGCGTCAACAAGCCAATGGCAGCTGAGGTAAGCAGCATCCCCCGACCCCAGCCTGCTGCCCCGTACTGGGTGCGGAGTATGCTCTCCCTTCGTGTGCTTGGAGCTGGTAAAGGGCCAAAAGTCCCAACCACTTATTTTCCTTAGGAAGAAAATAGATTGACAGTGCCCACACTGTCTGAGCTGAGCTCTGTGAAAGAGGCCCTGAGATAAAGCCAGCAGGGAAAGAAGGAGAGCTGAGCCCAAAAAATATTGTGAGAGGTGCCATGGCTGAGCAGGCTACCTGGAAGGTGGCATTTTAGGGGACTAAAGCCCTTTCTAATTCTGCTTAGCTGGACATGCACATGCCATCCTCGTACTTGGGAGGCCACAGCAGCAGGACCTCAAGTTTGAGGCTGTCCTGGATTACCTGATGAGATCCTGTCTCAAATAAGTAAATAAATACATAAAACAGACAAATAAATACTGTTCTCTGAGCTCTTAGGAAGCCTCAAAGTTGGAGAATGTTTTAAAGAATATATTCCTGTTTCTCATTAAAATGAGTACGCTAGGCTCTGAAGACCTCCATGAAACAAACAGGGTATGACTAGAAAACAAAAGCAGAAGTCACTTTTCTTCTGTTGAGCTTACTGACATACCTCATATCTGTCTTCATGCCCTTAGAAATCTGGATTTTAGGAACACGGGACCAAAGGTCCACATCTCCATTGTTTAAGATGGAGTCACTGTCCCCTGCCTCTGCAAGGCTGCCCTAGTGCAAGGTGGGAAAGCTGTGCTCACTGGGACAGTGGAGCTGGGGTGGTGGCTGGGCCGGGCATGATGATCTGAAAGGTGAGGCTCTGTGTAGGAGCTGCCATGTACCAGAGCACCTCATTTCCCATGGAGGCTTGTGGGCACCGGTACCCAGGCAGTTTGGTGGGAAAGTCTGTACAGAATTACTGACTGTAGAAATGGAGTGATCATCTGTCAAAGCACGTGCCCAGCTGTCCACTGAGATTTACAGCTTGTGGTGGTGTCTGTAGCAAGCAGTGTCGGCTGGGTACACAGAATCCAGACCACTGCCCTCAGAGCATATTTCACCTGTCAAGGACTGAATCAGTAGGTCCAGTCACAAAGGAGAACACCCCTAACTGCCACGAGGACTCAGCACTTGGCAAAGCGCAGAGGGCTGACAAACTGTTTCACACTGTCACATCAGTGGTGTTTGGACAGTGGAGGAGAGTAACCTGTGGGCTCTGTGACTGGCTGTGACCCTGTGTTCCCTTACTGCACACTTCGGGACCACTGGTGCCCCCTCCAGGTGTGTACAGGGTACCACCAGCCTCTCAGGCATCACTGAACATGCCTCACCCCTTCCGCTCCAGGCGCCCCATACTTCAGTGGTTCACTCTGCTCCACAGCCAGATGGAAGGTCAGCCATGAAAGCGCGTATGCCATGAGAGGAAGAAACACAGTGCAGGGGCAGGGCGGGGGCAGAGTGTCCTGGGCAAGGGAAAGCTCAGTGGGCCCCAGTGAAGCAGCATGAATGACCCCGATGCTGGGTTTCCACGCCTCCACAGGAATTTCCACAGTTTTTCTCTAGTTCTGTGAAGAATGCTATCGGTATTTTGATTGGGATTTGGGTCAGTTTTGGAAGTATAACCATTTTACTATATTGGTTTTGTCTAACTGGTGAGGCTGTGAGGGAAAAGCTATACTTCTACACTGTGCATGGGGATGTAAACTGGTACAGCCACTGTGGAAATCAATGTGAACCTTCCTCAGAAAAACTAAAGCTATAAATTCCATTTGGCCTCTTTCAGTATGTTCCGTAAAGAGTTAAAGACACCACATTCTGGTGATCTATCCACAACTATGTTTGTAGTAGCACAAACCATAATAGCTAAATCTTGGAAGCTACCTATATGCCCATCAACAGATGAATGGATAAAGAAAATGTGGTGTTTACATACAGTGGAGTGCTACTTTGCCATAAAGGGCAAGCTTGAGTCATTTGTATGGACCTTGAGACCATAATGCTGAGTGAAATAAATCAGACACACAAACTTAAATATTGCATGATTTCTAAGAGCAACCAAAATATAAATAAAGAGCAAAATAAAAGATAGATAATAGGAATTAGGAAGATAAATATTTTCCAGATGGGAAGGGAACCAAAAGATGGAGGGTAGGGTTGGAGGGACAAATGGCGGTGAAGAATTGGGGTGTGTTGTGTACCCACACCAACTCCCCATACTGCAAACACAGGTGAATAAAAATACTGGAGAAATATGAATAACTGCCGGTCACAGGCCTGGACAGGTTCCTCACCTTGACTGTGTTGCAGTAGCAGGGACCTGTACAGTTAGCTTTGTTCCTGAGGGCCAGGAGGCAGCCAGTGTCTCAGGGTACCTTACAGTTTGGCATCGCCAAAACTGCTGTGGCCTGTGCCCAGGGGGAGGCCAGTGCTGTGCAATCTTAGGGTCTGGGGCGAGACCCACGTGCCTGCGGTAGACACATCCCTGTCTTACTGGCTCTAAGGCATGGAAATGCCTCCCTCGCCTCTGCCTGGGCGAGCCTGGAGAGCAGTGCTGCGGGCAGCCCTGAGCCCAGCCTCTCTTCCAGATGGAGGGCGCCGACTGTGAGTGTGGCCCGGCGGGGAAGGGCTTCCCGGAAAACCAGATCCTCATCAAGCGCATGATGATCAAGTGTGCAGACGTTGCCAACCCCTGTCGCCCCCTGGACCTGTGCATCGAGTGGGCCGGGAGGATTTCCGAAGAGTACTTTGCACAGGTGCGCAGTCCAGGGAGGCACTCAGACCCAGCCTTTAGGGTACATTACACCTTCAGATTCTCAGACCCCCAACTTGGGCAAGAACCAGAACCTCGTGAGTTTCTTAGGTTACTGGTGTCTGCAGGGTGCGCTGTGGGAGATGGATGTGGGTGTAATGTGAGGGAGGGCACACTAGTCAAAATGCAGTGTATATGCAAAGGGCACTGGACAAATGCAGTGAATGTTTGAAATGTTTTTAATTACTACTTAAGACACATGGCTCTGAATCCCCCTCAAAATACCCCTCATCCACTTAAACACACTTGTCTCATCATTCTTGGACTTTTTGATATAGTTCTGAAGTCCACTTTTGTGTGTGTCTTTTTGAGATGTGATTTAAAAATATACAGTGAATACTGCTGCCAATCAAAGGCAGACTTGTAAAAGAAATTACTGTGTGTCTTTATCTATGTTATTCCCGGAATCTGGCACCATGTGACTTCTGGATCTTCCCTAAAGTCAAAATGACCAGGAAAGACAAACATTTTAATTGACACAGGACATCTAGGCACAACTAGACATGTAGGCAAGAGGCCTTCCAGCACTGTTCCAGAGAGTGGCAAGAACCAGGGGATAAGTGTCTTCAGAGCAGGCTGGGGTAGTAATTTTGGGAAAATTAACAGCAATGTGTCTTTTACAGTAATAAATTTTTAAAATTTTAAATGCACATCATTTTTAAATCATAGCTTCCAAAAAGGAAGCTTTTTAAAAAAGACTTAGAAATGTAGAAATAGGAAAACACTTTCTGTAAGACAAACATCCTATGCACTGTAAGGAGAGAAAATAGAATTTTTATATACGGACAGTAGCAATACACAGTTCACTTCAGCTGTGAAAACACAAAATTAAATAAGAAGGCATTAGAAAGCAGTATGCTGTACCGCCAGGTGCCTGCTGGAATACAGCCTTCCAGAGAGTAGGCCCTAGGGACTGATGTGCACCGCAAGGCACACAGCCCGCATGTGACATGCTTGGGCTCAGGGGAACTGGCTGGAATGTGCTACAGAGGCAGGTAAAGAGTGCAGGCTGGGAGGGCCTGCCACCGAACTGCAGCTTTACAGGATGGGGAGGAGCCACGAATGGAAGAGAAGGACAGGTTGCTCTAAGCTTTTGAGAAGGGAGCAGAGGGCAAACTACTCCTTGAACACCAGTGGGGATTTTCAGGTTGACTTGAAATGAGCAAGCAGAGCAAAAGCAGGTAGGAGGCCATGAATGGGCTCCCTGGAACCCAGAACAAGATGTGAGGTCCCGCTCCTAGGTCCTGACTACATATGAATGGGGATGGGGGAGAACCACTCCTAAACTCTGATGGAAGCTTCCTATTTGGGCATCCTCTTCTATAGGAATGCACTAACAAGCCAGTGTGACCTAAAGGTCAGAAATGTTACAAAGGAAGCCTTAGGTCAGATGCTTCTGGCTGCATGGCCATACTGCTTAGCAGCTCTGTCCTTGCACATGTGAACTTTTATGTGCACAGTACTCAGATTTCCACACACCTTGAGAGAGCTGCTTGGCTAACACCCAGATCTGAAAAATCATTCTTGGGAGTAAAAATAGTGCATCCTGAGAAGAGAAGCTATTTGGCCACAGCTGGACCGCCTGAGTGTTCTTCCTGGAGACGCCCCTGACTCTGGTGTCCTGCATGAGGGCATGTATGCCCTGCTTGTCACACAGGAGGTGAGGCAGGTACTCAGAAGTCAGAATTTCACAAGATTAGTAGCTATTAACACTTCTAAGAGATCATTCTTAAATTTTTTTTGAAAAGCTGCAGCACCAGGTGGTGAAAACCACAATGACTCTGGCCCCCAGTCTGTTTGGCGCCAGCAGCTTCATAGCCGCAGCTCTGCACCTGGTATAAACAGTAGTAGCGGGTGGGACACCAAACTTGAGAGTTTTGACTGTGCCATAGGTCACAGAAAAGGGGCCAAGCACCCTGAAGTCAGTACCCCAGGAGCAGTGGCGATGGAGCATGAAAAGGGGAGACTGAGTTAGGTGATCTGACCAGCCGCTGTGGCACATCCTGTAGTCGTTGGGAGGCTGTCTTCAGTTAAAGCTGGCTCTGGAGCGCATTCACAGGTGCTCCTGAGACCCAAGCTGTTATGTACGGGAAGGTCTCTCTGTGTCCCACAGCACTGTGTGGCAGTGTTTTCTCTTACAGACAGACGAGGAGAAGAGACAGGGGCTGCCCGTGGTGATGCCTGTGTTTGACCGCAACACCTGCAGCATCCCCAAGTCCCAGATCTCCTTCATCGACTACTTCATCACGGACATGTTCGATGCTTGGGACGGTAAGAGGCTGTGTCACGCGCTGCAGCATTCTATTACCCTTCATGAAAACTGCCCTTGCGAACACATCCCAGGCCTAAAAATACAGGAAATAGTTAGCTGTCAGCTGTTCGTGGCCAGGCAGGACACATGCAGGTGCTGTAATTTATGTGTTTTCCTGCACTGGGCCTCTTGTCAGGTGGGTGTGTGATAACTAAACAGGCATTCGCTTTGTCAAGTGACACGTGTCTGAAATGTACAACAATTTTATTTTATCATCAAAGTGTGAAAAGAATGCAAAATAATAACGTGTCTATTCCGAGTCGCAGGTTCTTTTGATAATGTCACAGATGAACGAACACCTTTTCAGTTAACCCGAAGGTATTTCGGTATTTCATGATTTGGCTTTCTTGCACTTGTGTGTCCACCGAGACCCAAGGCCTGACCCTGGTAGCTCTCTCTGCCTGTCCCAAAGAGCCCTGTGATCTAACAGGTTCCCTTCTTTTCATGTCCTTGCAGCCTTTGCACACCTGCCAGCCCTCATGCAGCACCTGGCTGATAACTACAAACACTGGAAGACATTAGATGACCTGAAGTGCAAAAGTCTAAGGCTGCCATCGGACAGCTAAGCCAGCCGAGAGCAGCGACCGCTCCTCCAAGGGCACCGTGAATCCCAGCAGCGTCTGCGGACGCTGTCCTCTGTAACGCATGAGGTTAAGGAGCTGATTGATGACTGATATTTGACCTTGAATCATTCAAGTCCTCAAATTTCAGTTGTAGCAAGTTAAGTACCATGAAGAAAAATACACATTCTTTTGAACACTTAGTAGCAGAACAAACACTTGGCAAATCTTCTATCGTGCCATCTTCCTGCGTATGTCATATCATGGAGCTGAGTTGCTGTAACTAGCAGCACACGGGATTACCTGGTGGCAGTGAGGCTATCCCCACAAGCTTAGCTAGCGTTTGGTTCATCTCTTAGCATAAAAGTCACCACTACTGTTTAGCTTGACTGTTCTCAAGAGCATCAGTCTGAAGGATTCATGACAAGCTTATCTAAACAGCTATACCTAACAAAAAAGTTACATAAAATGAGCAAAACACGTAGGACCAAATTATTGATAAACTAGTGAGGTGATCTTCTGTTTGGTGGTGTGATACCCCAGTTGGAGGGCAGCCTTGGCCTGGTGAGCGCCCCCTCCTGGGGGCCAGCAGCCTGTGTGGCCCTCTCTGGTGTAAATTGAAGTCACTCGTGAAAGGGGCAGGGGAGCCCACGTAATCCCCTCACTTCTGGCTTATCGAGGCAGCCATGAGGCACTATGCCTTGTGTTATACAAAAGCCATCAAATCTGAATGCCCTTGGACAAGCATTTTTTTAAAGAGAAATTTATATACATTTGCTGTTAACAATTTTTATTAAAACAATCTAAATTTCCTGGGTCTAAGCCCATGGAGTTTGTTGTACCATGCGCCACCTATACACATATATTTGGGGAAGGGATGGGGAACTTTCAAGATTTGGATGTTTTTAACTTGCCTATCTATACTTGAGATCATGCCATCTGTTGCAGTGACATATAAAAAGGATTGCAGGATGTATAGCTATATCAGAAAACAGACTATGGAGAGGGAGTAAATACTCTTTTAAGCTATTACTTGTATGCTAAAAGCTTCTAAAGCACAAGTGCATATTTTTATACAGCTCTTTTCACAACTTTCAGTGCTCTACGTCAATACTTAGAATTCCCCTTACTACTTCTCTGTGTATTGTGAATATTAGAAACTTAGTAAACAAAATATCATAGTTTATCTTTCTCTGTACTCCATGCTGCATTTCTAAGGGATATACAAGAAACATAATCACCAGTAACTGAATCAGTAGTTATTTAATAACTGAATCAGTAGTTATTTTTCCAAGTGAAAATCAGAATGCAGAACCCATGAAACTGGTACATGGAAAGAAAAAATATGACTTATCACTACATAATGTGCCAATGTTTTTTTCTATGTTTTGTACCAAAAATGGAAACATATATGACAATTCCATGCAAAGAAATGTATCTAAATTATTTTTGTTAGATAAGAGAACCTGCTTGGTGGACAGCAGCCAGCTCTGTGTTGTAACGCTCCCTATGTAAATGTGATGAAGTGTTTTTGTGAAGTACCTGTAACTAAATTCCTACAGCCATTTTTCATCCCCAACAGCTGTTTTTATTTTACCTCTTTGGCCTAAATTTTTCATAATTTCAAATTTCAAGTTTAGTGTCCTTTATTTCAAGAGTCACACACTTCATTTTCATAACACATTAAGGATGCCAGAATCCTGCATTAAGGATTTATAACTTATAATTTGCCTAAGCTTCAGAAATTTGCTTGAGGTAAGGCCAATAATTTTTTTTCTGATCATCTTGCTTTTGGTTCCATGTGGTAACATTTATCAGAAAATGTCTGACATTTTCTGTATGAAACATTATAGCTTATTCAGTGTTACACAAAATCAGTTTCACCTTAACTTCAAACTCTGCTGATACTATGTGAATGTGAAATGTTTTAAGACTACCAAGTACTACAGCTTCAGCATAACCCTGCACTTAGCTAGTATATTCTTCCAGGTAGTCAGCTCATTGGAAATACAGTCTTTCAGGTGGTGTGTGTATTAGATAGTTTCTACATAATCCAAAATAATATAATTACCTCTTATACATAGGAATTTACTAAAACAGCATGTATGGAGGGGAGACATAATTTAAGAAACTACAAAATGATCCTAGTCTCCTTCTACTCACTACGCTGGCCGGAAGTCAGTTATGAAGCACTATTACTGACTTGAACATTTTGAAGTTTGTTTGCCCTGAGTCAGGACTGGTTTACCTCCTGGGCAAGAACGAGCCCCACCAGGACCCACTCAACTTGGGAGAAATGGCAAGAATGAGCCACTGCTCTTCACTGTCTGGTGAGGAGGTGCCAGTATTTTATATAAATGCCAAGGCACAATACTTAGTGTTAGTTCTGGTACTATAAATATCCCATAAGTACTGGAAACCAAGCTAGAGAAATAGAAGCAATGCACATAATCTATATGGAATTCAGTTATCACTTCTTATAAATTGCAAGTTCAACCTTCAGCAAGTCTGCTTGTTACTGCTGAACAGTGACTGGGCTCTGGTCCCTACCAGAATCTCCTATTAAGCCGTGCTCCTGCCTTCCTTTGCCCTAATTCAAGGCACTCGGAAAAACAAACGCTGGCATTTCTGCCAGCTGGGTGAGGAGCCCTCTGAATTTACCAGTTCCTCCTGGTGGACAACCAGTCATATAGAATGCAGTGACCTCAGGGGTTTGGTATGGAGCTGTGTATTCCGAAAACTCTTAAAAACTAACCCAGAACAAGTTAGGAAACAAGATTGTTTAAAAATCTATGAACTCCTTATTTATTATACAGTTGTAGAAAACATCTTTACTAACTCATGATCCAACATGGAATTTGCAAAGACGAGCCCACGAATGGGGAAGTAAAGGCTTTCTGTGAGTCTGCTGTGACTTGGCTGGAGCCACGAACCCAACTCCTCCTGCATGGCGAAGGCTGCCTCCTGCACTTATGTCCCCATCAAAGGTGGGCAGGCTGCTTCTAGCTGACAGCTGGGACAGGCTTGGGTAACAGTGGTTTGTTCGCGCAAAGGCACTTCCAATTGTTACATTCATATTCTTCTGTGCTGTAATGGAGATAGTGTAGGTTTTAATCTATTTTTTCGTAAGGCTGCTCCCACTGTGAGCACAGCAACAGTGGCCAGGAACAGTGCGCTGTTTCCTCACATAGCCAGAAGGACAACTGAGTCTCTCACCTGAGTCCTCTTTCTTTGTCGCTCAGCTGCACAGTGATGGTAACAGACACACAGCACCATGCCAATGAAGCACAAGGCCTTGGCTTCCTCATTTATAACATCTTGTCACCCGTCTACCCAATGAGTTTAACCGTGCCAGACTGACCACAGGGAGTGGTGAAACTTAAAAATAGTAAAGGTTATAATTTATAAAACTCCAGTTAAGGAGGAAAAGTATGTGTGTGATGCACAGATCTGCAGCAGGCTTCTTTGAGAAGGATTAGTCCTCTCAAACCAGTCACCTTACTATTTCTTTAATCTTTAGCAGGATTCTTTAATCGGCAACTTAAGAATAATTCCAGAATTAAACCCCTCCAATTTTCCTTGCATAGAATACTTTTTAACTTTTCTTTTTTAGCACTGAAAGTGAAGAGAGGATTCTGTCACAAAGCTGGTGGAGTGATGAAGATGAGCCAGTTGCAGTGGTCGCATCAGGGCCGTCAGTGAAGCCTTTCTCAGGCATCTCATGCTACACCGACTCGGGTGATCAGGCCCTCTCGGCTGTGGCCCCTGGCCCTAGCACTCATCCTTGGCACACCAGTGCAGCACCTGATGGACAGTACTCATCTGGCCAGTGGCTGGTCAAGCAAACTCACATCAAAAAAGAAATACACCTCCGTCAGATGCCTATGGGTTCAAGTACAAAAGGATTTTAGCAACTGGAACTAAAACACTTTTTAATGATTTAAAAAAAATTAGTATCAAAAATCACTGCACCTAAGTAGTACAGTTTGTTTTTTGGCTAAGACTCAAATTGGATCCCAGGGAAATCTGCAGGAGAAAGTATACACTTAACAAGAATTCTTAAACAGGTTCTAAAGAAAACCAAAACAAGGCTTAAGCATACTGTTTCATTTATTTCCACCACTTCACAGGGGTCTAATTCACACTAGGAAATACAAAACCTAGCACTCATCACATCCATAGCACACAGCCAACGGGAGCTAGTCAGTGTGCTCCCTAGAGGGTGTACTAAAACACCCAAGATGACGCACGAGAAAGAACTTGGATGCACAGGATTGTGTAGCTTGTCAAAAATTGCAAATTTAAGTGATCAGTGCATTAGCGGTTCGTGGGGTATAACCCTGCACTCGATGTCCAGGGTTCATCCACATTGTATCCTGCTGCCTCCTACTACGCAGCACGGTACAAGTCACCATTCTCCTCTAATTTCTGGAATAATTTTAAACTGCGTAATGCAGATTCTCGTTCTCCATTTTTCCACAAAATAATGAGATGATCAGCAGAGCAAGTCACTAGTCCATGATCTTCAAAATACAGAAACATCTGCAAAGAAAAATTGAGACTACTGATTATAGGAATTTCAGCAAGAGAAATACTAATACTGGCTTACTACTTGGGCTTTAAAGTATACCTAGAACACTTTTTATATTTCAGTGTAAAATTATTTCATTTTTCATGAAAAATTTCAGTGTTGATAAGTCACATCCAATTAGCTCCTGCCCAGCCAAGCTGCTCCTTGCCACCATATAAAGGCTGTCTTTGCCCTTTTGTCACCCATGTTGCCTGCTCACCATGCTGAACTATACACATAGCCACCAGGCAAAACCAAACCAAAAGGCTGATGAGCTACCTGTTAGAGGAGAGCAAAGATGAGTCAGATGATGGTCCCCAACAACAGGGAGCAAGTAGTGACAAAATCAATCCTACTGACTTTCCCGCGTCAGCTCAAGTCTCAAGTCCTGCATCTTCCACCAATATGGACAAGCTTCTGCAAGAATTGTTTCTCTAAGCCCTGAGTATTCACTGCCTGGTACTCATCTGGGCCCAGCAGCCACAGGAGAGGAGAAGAGCTTACTAGATCTGTCCCACTCCTGTTCATGACCGTGAAAGATTCATCAGAGCCAGCATTGCACCCTGTATCTCTTTGCAAACTCTAGCATCTACTATCTTTATTACCCAGGGTGCTAGAACACATCACTGGACTGCAGGAAATGCTCAACACCTGTGTCAGAGTGAAGCCCTTTCAAATGAAAAGCAATCTGTTACTTGCTGGCTATGAGTCAGAAAAGAACAGCAAACTGCATACTTAGGGCCTTGCTTATACCGTTACCATTACGTTCCCGTTATCTCTTCATCTTCACTGATCTTATTCATTTCACACAAAAGTGCTTGTAGTAAATACGAACGTAGCTGATTTCCACAAGTTAGAATTCTCTGCACCTTACAAATGTAAACTGGTTTTCATATATGTACAATGATAAGGTACAGGGGCTTCTTTCATCTTTTTATCATTGAACCTAGAGGTGCTCTACCACTCAGCAATATCCTTGGCCCTTTTCATTTTATTTTTTGCTCTTTTGTTTATTTAATTTTGAGACACAATGTCCCTAGTAACCTTTTCTTAAACTTGCAATCCTCCTGTCTCGGCCTCCCTCAGTGCTAGGATTGTAGGCATATATCCAGCAGGTCCAGGGTTTTATAAAGATAACAAATTATCCCTGGAGACAAGTGAAAACAATGCTGTGTTCTTGAATTTAATGAAGACCCTTGGAATTAGATTCATTAAAGCTTAAACTTTATACCACACATGTCTCATCTGTAGACACAAATCCCACACAGCTCACACCGCTCTTACTGTCAGCTGTCCTGATCTCAAGAATAATGCTATGTCCAGGATCAAGAGCAGATTCCTCGGGACCTGTCTCTGTGAAGGGAGACCCTCACCGCCCATACCACAGCCTATGCTGTTCCATGCACAGATCCAACACAAGCCTACGGCTGGCCTTTCTGAGAGTGGCTGGCCATGCAGAGTGTGTGTGCAGTGTGTGCGTCTGCTGCAAGCCATACCTCCACAGAGGACGAGTGCCCAATGAGGTCTCCAATCAACTCCAGTGAACACGAAGTGGCGTTTTCTTGTTGCTTTTTAACAGGTTGACTGGCTTGTTTGTTCACTCTTCCAAATCCCCACATATTAAAAAAACCTAGAAAACATGATCACTGCAGTCATTCCTCCAAAGTACTGTGCTCTGAGAATCAGAAAATCAGAAAAACAGAGAACATGAAAATGTCCTGCGTTTGTACTAGTTAGGGCCTAAATGGATGGTACAAGATGCTATGCTAAGAGTCTTTAAAATATTTTAGTTTCTTTCTAACCAGGTTTGTTTGTTGCTTTTTACTGCTCACACTCACTGAGTGTGGGCATTACTCATATGACAAAAACAGAAAGATACTAAGGATAAAAGAGAAGGAGGCCTCGATGGCACTATCTAATTGTCAAAAGAAAGTAACACATTTCGGAGCTGGGGATTTAGCTCAGCAGCATAAGCACCTGCCTTGCAAGCAGGTGGTCATGAGTTTGATCCCCAGTACCAATTAAAAAAAAAAAAGAAAGAAAGAAAATAATACATTCCAGCAAAAACAGAAAAAAAGCTATGTGTGTGCTACACAGTACCCTAGGGCTTCATGGAAGTCAAAAAGAACCAGAAGAAACAGCAGGCACCAGCACCTGATTTCTCATTGAGACTTGGTAATGCATCCATTCAAATATCAGCAGTCTGTCCTCCAAACCAAATACCCAAGTGTCAAGTGCTCATGAGTCATGCTATAAACACCAAATGATTTTTTCCATAAGTTGAGTTTGATGTTAATGATTGCTTCAAGGCTAGAGAATACTCTGACACCAGACAGTATAAATTTTGAGTACTGGTCAAAATCACAGATGATACAAATGAACAATTACTTCCTTAGGCCAATTTGGTCACTCAGGTTACTAGGAAATAATAAATTTCCTTCCAAACAATGCAATCCCAGTTGAAGCAGTTCTGCGTGGGGCAGTTCTGCGTGAGGAAGTGCGAGTTCTGCGGCCAATGACTCACGCCTCCTAGGAACACCTGATGCCTGCTGGGAGCATGTTCTGTGTTATTCCATGATTTCATGTAATCACCTTTCTTCTGTCTTTTGTATGAGAAAATGGGGGACAGCGAGGCGGGAGGGGGAGTGGGGAAGCAGGTGCTACCTTCCTGAGGCTGACACACACCTGTTGGTGCTGGCTCGGCCACCAGCTGCTGCTTCTCTCGTAGCTCCCAAATGCGCACACTGCCATCTTCTGAGCAGGAGGTTAACTGCCTGTCAGCACAGAAAGCCAGTGACACCGTGAATGCTAAATGGGAAGTGAGGGAAATCTGGGAACCCTTAACTGCTTTTATTCAGCTGTTGCCAGGAACTGAGAAAAACTGTAATTTACATAGCTGTGCAATGCAAACTAAAAGCATTCTTCCTTCAGGAAAGGCATGTACCACACTATGCAACACTGGCTTAAATAGCACAAATGCATCATCTCCATTTTAAGAAATGCACATGGGCAAACAAGGTATGAGTTAACACTCCCACAAAGTCGTGAGCAGCTTGTAGTCCCTCCTCTTATTATGTATCTGTAAGATGTATCTCCCTTTAAATAGACAATAGGTATAGTACAGAAAATAATGCCTTGCCCTTCCTGGAATTTCATCCCCAGAAATTCAGCAGCCAAATCTACCCTGAGAAGAAAACACCCATTTAGTAGCATTAGCCATGAAGGAGATTACAAACACATGACAACAAAAAGGTTCACAGGATATGTGAAAAGAAAAACGACTTTGCATATGCCCCACAGCCTTTTATTTCCATTAAACATTAATTTTTAAATGATCTCTTATTAAATTCAATATAATTCATTGAAACCTTGTTCTTGTCAATTCTGTCATATATTGCTACCAACTCTTCTGCTATGGAGGATTCTCCATTTCCAAAAGTCTCTACCAAGTCAAGCCTCAGAGCCAGGTAACAGGGCCACCTGAGAAATTACACTGGTGGCCCTAGGGCCCATAGCTTACTTTCATCTGTGGCAGAACAGATGGTACTTGTACCTGTTTGGCAGTTTGGTGATATGCAGGACATTTGAGTCGTGTGCAGTCTTCTGGCAGGCAATCACACGCTTCGTTTGAAAGTTATACACATATAAACCCCTTCCAACTGCAGCAAATACATTCTGGAGGAGAAAGTTCAGAAATGAGCATAAAACTAGTGCTTATCCCTAGTGAACTAGATTTCCAGCCTAGTGTGATATCAGAAAGCCATTACCTTCCCTGTTCTCCACCTTCAGCCCAAATTAAGCACTGCCCTCTGAAGTCTGAAACTGTCAGAACACTCAGGAAAGCTGAGTATGTATGCATCACTCCTGCTGAGGAGGCTGCACCTTACGCTCCTCTGTACGCTTTTCCCTTCGCTGAAATTCAACCACTCAAGGAGGAGATGTGGCTGGCAGCCTGGCCTGTGGCAGAAGCTGCTCAGGGACACGTGGGGATTCACCCAAAAACACTGCATCCCCAGGAAAATTACTTAGCTGCTTTTGCCTGGAAAAAGGGAGCAAAATTACTCTCCACTCTCATCTTAATCAAGAGATATGCTATAGAGAGGCACTATCATCTAGGAGCCTCTGAGTCACAAAAACATTCTTCCCCATGTGGTATTAGGAACTCCTTCTTCCTGAAACCACCTCGGTCATTTAAAAGCATACTCACAAATGTGCATCTCACATTGGCTGCATACCACTATGTTAGGGAAGGAAAGGTGAGCATTACTGCCACTTTCTAGATGAACAAGTTAAGGATTGAAATCATAAGAAACTAAATGTGGAATCAGTGTTAGAACCAAGGTCACATTATTCCAGTTCTTTGTGCTTCTTTCATACCAAAGCATCTAGCTTCTAAAATTATTTTGTGCATTACTAGACTTCAACTAGCACTCATCGTGGAGTCACTCATTCTTGGAAGGTCTGGTACTACAAGAGCAGACCTTTCAAAATCCCCTTCAAACTGTCTCCTGTTTGCAACCAGAGATCTCAGACCCTCTGAGCCAACTCAGACGTAGGCCAGCAGAACCAAAGGAAGCCCAGGCCTACCAGGACGTAAATGTGAAGTGATCTGAACTGCTTCTCTGCACTCGGCAATGTGAGCCAAGGGCTAATGTCAAGTGCACTAAAGAAAATAGATCGTCAAAGTGCTAAAACCTAAGTCCTACAGACAGTGCTCACTGCAAAACCTCAGAAACTTATTCTACAATCCTAAGTGACTTTACCCAAGATTGTTAAAAAAATTACAAACACACTAGAATTCATGAGTTTAGGCAGCAGCATTTACTCAGCGGATGTACTCTGTTGGTCATCTATCACCAAAGATTAATGAGAGAAAAAGAACCTGTAGACAGAGCTTGCAATAAATGAAAGAAAGTCAGGGGGAATTGAGTGACTTTTTGCAAAGGTTTTAGCAGTTAATTAAGATCAATAATAGTTTTAAGACTAACAAAAATGAAAAAACAATATATTTTTCGTAAGTGAGATAGTTAAACATACGTATTGTTTTTAGGTCTCTAAACAATCTAGTCTCTATCTTTTCTGAGACCATACTGTTTTTATTTGTTTGTTTTTTGTTTTTCGTCTTTTTCCTTTCAAAAACCAATCTTTGAGTACAGATGTACTTTTAAAATCTTCCTCTTATTTTCTATTGTTCTTCCAGTAAGAGTTGCAAAGAAAAAATTAAACTATCTTCCTTCTCCAGAACACTCCTACTGACACTTTTTAATAAAAACAATAACACACCTGTGGGTAGGAACCTTAAACAGAACAGGACATAAAGTGAAAGAAATGCTTCCCTCACTCCCTCTCTACAAGTTACAAGCATTTTTTAAATTACATTTAGAAAAATAACTCCTATTTTTAAATACATTTTGTGAGGCCACAGGAATATAAGAAGTGATTTTTTTTCAGCTCCAAGCTAAGATTCAGTGATCGGCTGATCCTAATCTGTCATAGGACAAGCTGCAGAACACCTCGGTGAAGGGTGGGGGTCAGAGATGGCGGTTCTCACCCCATTATCATCTACCCTAGGGTGCTCACAGACTACAAGAGCAAGTCCTCAAAATGTTAAGTTTCTTTTCCCTCCCTAGGAAATGTACCAAAATCTGTGGCCATCCCACCCTTTCCTTGCCTAAAGATTGGAAGCAATGATTAAAGTTCGTTTTTAAAAATGTAAGTAGCACTATCTTTGTAATCTACCAGACCATTTTAAAGCAAAACTTGAAACCAAAAGGAATATTTTTATGTCCATAATGCAATTAAATATAAAAAATCAGAAATCAGATTTTTGGATTTTTTTTTTTTTTTACCTCTTCATCACATGTGAAAGTATGAATAGAAACGTCATTTGGTTTTTGACAGAGTTTGACTTCCTGCTGGATATCCAGCTGCGGAGACGGGTCCCAGAAGTTGCGTTCATAGGCCTGCACGGTCCAGTCCAGGACATCCCAGATGATCAGCTCCCCAATGTGGGAACCCGTAACAAAACTCACACCTAGGCAGAGTTCAAAAGCCTGCATTACTTGATCAGCCCCTCTGGCTCAGAGGCAGTAAAGCTATGGCACATGTGTCACTGTTTCTAAGATGAAAGATATTAAAGTAGGAGTTGCTTTTTCTAAACTAAAACCTCAGTACTGATGTTTAACTGCAGTGTTGGCAATTTGGGATCAATAAGTGGGTCTGGGGTTGCAGTTTGGGCTCTGTCTCTGAAAGGTTAGCCACCATTGCTCTACCCTGCTGGTAGAAACAAATGGACTGCTAACACCAATGCTTTACAAACCACAGTGAGATACCTAGACGAGCACACAGATTCTGCAACAGAACAAAAAGGCTGGAAATAGACTCAAGTTTACTAATGACTGGGAATGTTTTGCTCTAGTAAAGGTATATCTCATGCTAGAGTATTTGGTCAAGTTGTAGGGGAATAAAAATAAAAGAACTTTACTCTAGATCATGTACCAAAATAACATTTGAGTAATAAGATAAAGTATGACAAGTACTTAAAGGACTGAAGAAAACTAAGGTGAATCACTTTATAAACACTGAGTAGTAAAGGGCTCCAAGGAAGCAGAAAAAGGGACACAGATCTGAGCATATATTTGCTTGCAGGCAAATAAAATCACCAAGCACAGTGGCACATACCTATAACCCAGCTACTCAAAAAGCTGAGCCAGAAGGACAGCAAGTTTGAGGTTAGCCTGGGCAACTTAGTGAGACCTTGTCTTAAAAAAAAAGGTGGGGGTGGGGGTTAGGGAATCTGTCTCAGTGTCAGATCTCTTGTCAAGCAAGTCTGTGTGAGGCCTTGGATTTAACCCCCAGCACTACAAAAACACAAACAACAACAAAATCCTATACACTCAAATGACAAAAAGCTAGAGAGAATATCAATTTAAATGTCAAAACAGGTTTGCTATATTTGATGCATAAGAAGTTTTAAGAACATGATAAATACCCCAACAGAAAATATACACAAAAGATCTGGACCAAAAAAAAAAAGGTACAAACAAGCAGTAAATATGTGGGAAGATCTTCAATTCTTCTTCTTCTTCTTTCCTCCTTCCCCCACCCCTCCTTCTCCTTCTTCTTCTTCTTTTGGTACTAAAGATCAAAAGCACTTGTGCTGCTGAGCTAAATCCCTGGGCCCAGATCTTCAATTCTTAACAAAGAAATTGAAAAGTTTTGAGATAAAATTCATAGATTTGCAAATTGGGAAATTAATAGATTAATAAGTTAGAATTCATAAATAGTACTGGCAGGACCATAAGGGAGCAGCATATACACTGCAATGTCTTAGTGCAAACTGTATAAGTTGACACACTCTACACACAAATGAGTATGCTAATATGCATCAAAACCTAAAAAAATGTAAACCTATTGATCACCAATTTTGCTTCTAAAAATTTATTCTGAAGGAAATGCATAAAGACATATACAAGGCTGCTAAACATAATCTTTAAAATCCAAGGATTACCTAAACATCTAATTGAGGATTAATAAATAAAAAAGACATCCATGGAATGAAACAGTAATTCTACTATCGAAAATTAACTTGTAAAAGCATGCTCATATTGATATAGAATACATTTATGACATCCTCTTACAAAACAGTAGACCTTATGTGCACACATCCATATACCCAGAAAAATATTCAGAAGGACATGGACAAGTGTTGAATACTGGATGATGGGTGGTTTAAATTTTCTTTTTTATGTCTCTCAGTTTTGTCATTTTTCTTCAACTATGACTCTAACTTATTTAATAACAAGTTTTTAAACTCTTTAAATAAAATAAAATTAACCAAAACACTACACATTATATAGTCAATAGAAAATTTGTAACTGTTAGAGAGACTAAAAATCATCTTTAGAGACTATAATTTAATTCTCACATACTTAAGGGAAGACAGAATAGAGCAATGCACTAAGCCCAGGGACATGGGTTCTAATTCTAACTCTGTCTATGATTAGCCTGGAGGTCATTGGGAAATCATTTAATCATTCTTTGTCTTGGATTCCTCATATACTAAATGGGGATAATTACAAAAATCAAGGTAAATAACAAATGTCTACTCACTGCAAAAAGACATCAAATGTTATCTTTGCATCTCTGGTATTAAGATCCTGGTGTTATTTCACATTAATGGCACTAAAACATCCAATGAATGACTTACAATTTAAGAATACAATGATGAGTAATTATGATTCAATTATTTTGCTATTTATTTGCTATTCAATTAGCAAATAAACCAGTAGGATGGAACTCTCTGATAACCAGATGAACAATCTCTTGGCAAAAAGCCACTGGGTTCTTCCTTTTTATTTTATTCCGATGTATACATATATACATATGTACACATTGTCTCTGTCTGGGTCCCAAGGCCATAATAGGTAGTTTATTAATGTTACATATTTATAGTTTACTAACTGATTAGAGAATTTGCTGTGAAGAAATAAGTTCACTTCTCATTTCAGGAGAGGAACAAGCTTCCAGTTTTTAATGTGTGAAAGTTCAAGTAATAGTAATCTTTTCATGACCTTTGTGCCCACCCTTTTCTCTCTTCTTTCCAGGTTCACTCAAAATGCAAGAGAACCAGGGTGTTATGGCTGTGTCTAGATGTCCCCCCAAAGCTTCATGCTGTCAAGATGGGGATTTTACAGAGGTGGCTAAGTTAAGAGTGTGTGATGTCAGGACTGACTCATGTGCTATGCTGAAGGGCACTAGGATTAAGGTTATGAATGCTACCTAACCTAAGAAGCCTGGATAAGATATAAGGGACAGAAAGACTGTGGTCATTCCTTGCTTGCTTTGCTACCTTTAGCCTGCCATGAACTGTTTCTCCTCTGCTGGACTGAAACCTCTATAAACTGTGAGTCAAATAAATCTTTTCTCTTTTAACTTGAATGCTGGGTATGTTGTCTCAGCAATGAGAAAGTAACTAACACACAGGAAAATAACAGACTGAAGATTCCTCTTGACTCCAGCTCAGTGTCTGGTCATAACACTCAGTTAACATACAGAGACCAGGCAAGTACCTGCTCTCATCTAATCTTCTATGATTCTATGCAACAGAAACCCAGTGTTAATGACAATTTGGAATTTTTCACTAAAAACCAAATATTGGTATTCGCTTGAGTCAGGTCTCTAAGTATGCATAATATCACTGTGTATATTATTTATATTCCCTGACAAGTCATTCAAAATGTTTTACACTGAACAACCTCGATGTATTATTAGTGGATAGATTTTTCATTCTGTATCAAAAGCCACTTAGTATGAAAATTTCACCTGGCATCTGTCTTTTAAGTTACAATACTTTGTTATTACTGTATCATGCTGTCAGCACAAAACAAAAAAAGGAATAAAATAAAAAGGAAGAACCCAGTGGCTTTTTGCCAAGAGATTAGCAAAGTCATCCTGTTTATCTGCCTGGGCATTCAATCTCTTTAGGAGCCTGCTGTATACGTTGTCCATTTATGGCATGCGATGGCTGCCCAGGGACAGCCCCACTGAAAAAGCACTTCCTTCCAATGCATAAACCCAGTAATGTGCCACATTTCTCATGGGTCATGGGTGACAACAAAGAAACAGGATAGAAAGTGGAGCAAGGAATTGTGTAAGATACTTTAAGATTGCCCAAATCTGCAGAATTGCTGATGTGCCCATGTATGAGATCAGACTGTTAGCAAATCTTTTTCAAATTTTGCCAGACTATTTGGCCATGCATGCATGACTGATTGCTAAATATCCTTTTCCCTTATTATTTGTAGTGTAATTTTAGTCACAGAGTTTAAAATAGCCATTATTTTTATTTTTTGTTTTATTTTTTGCTTTAGTGCTCTATTTTCCTTCTTTTACAGAATCTGACCAAGAAATACTTGAAGAAAACTTTCTTAAAATGTTAATAGCTCTTCGTATCAGACACTGAAAAAGGTGGACCATGATTTTAAGGCTATTTTAGAAATATCCCAGCATTGTCATTGAAGTAACCAGGCTGCATATATCTCCAGTGCTTTGGCTAAACCAAGACAAGGAGGAAGGACCCATGTACTGGGTCACAGTACTACTGTGCTTTTCCCAGCAGTTACAGAGACTTGAGACTCATGGCTCAGGGTTACCAAGGAGGCTTCCAAGGATCTCCCAAATAAGAACCTGCCTATTGAGCTGCCATCCATGGCTAGAGAGAAAAAACACCCAGAAATAAATAAAAGGGCACAACCAACCACTGTCGGTCCTATCACCACAGATGACGTGGTCTTTAGAATGATGTACAGCTGAACTATACAAGAAGATGGAAGCTGAGGAAGGGTCTGAATCTAGGCAAGGATATTTTCACTGACGTACCTGAAAATGTGACTACCTCATACTCAAAAGGAGACTACACTTGATGTTCCTTGTACCTCTCTTTGTCTTGTCTTTATATAAAATGTTGCTCCAAAAGAGCTGGTCCAGACCTGGGGTGCTGCTCAGTCTTCTCACTCCTTCACTCACAAGTCTTAAAAGACCCACTTACTCTCCCTGCAGACTGCCAAGAGAAGCCACGAGTCCTATCGTCTACACTGCTCAGGTCATTGTAGAGCTCTGATGGTATAAGCTCCTATTTAACTGCAAGTGAACGAGTTAAACACCAGGATCTGAGGTCTATGAGCTCCTCTTCCTTCTGACATCAGGCTCAGCTGGCAGCAGACACTAAAACTATTTATGGGTTCAAACAGGGTAGCTAGCAAGTTGGAGCCTTTACCCATGAGGAAGGGCCGACCTGACCCATTTTCTACAAACCTTTGTTCTCTTCCTTAATTATAATTACTACTGGCTTAAATCCTGCTCGTACTACTATAAATATACAAGTTGCTACAGCCAGCAAGATGAAAGGGCATAACTCAGCAATGGTGAACCTCTCAGAGACAAGTGTCCCATCATTTCTCAGCCTTCTGGCCAAGACCAAGAACAGAGACAAGTGCCCAAACTGCAACCCCAAATCCACTTACCACAAAGTGTCAACACTGTAATTAAACCTGAATACTGAGGTTGTAATTTAGAAAACACTCATGCATTAACATTTCTTATCTTCAAAGAAGAACAACATGTGGGCCATAGGTTTACCACCATTGGCATAATTATTTTTAATCTTCTCTACAAAGGAGAACTGGAAAGAACCACTTGCAAAGAATGCTGTAATGCCATACGGTATTAAGTATTTACAGCCTACACTGACCTTCCCACGGCCACCAACTGCTTCCTGGATGACCATGCTGTCCTCTGCCTTTTTTCTCTGCTTTCTTCCATGCTCCTTGTGCCTCACACTTAGACCTGCCAATCGGTGGGACACTCAAGTGCACTGGTTGAATGCTGAGAGTAAAGGGAATGACAATCCTTTCTAATCTAAAACTATTACTTTAATAACACTAATTCCAAAATCTTCAAATAACAAAACTGAAATTCGCAATAGGTTAACCAGTACAAAATGTTATGCAGTGTAAATGTGCACAGCTAGCTTACCATTGACATTAATCAAGGAGAGAATATTGTCCTGATGATCAAGGAGGCGTTTAACTTCAATAATGTCCCATTCCAGTGATCCTTCAGTGGGTGTTACTAACCTGAAAATTACTAAATAAAAAGACATTAATTTCACTAAAATGCTCAAAGATAAAATCCCGTTTCTGTTCAAAATGTAAGCATTTCATTAAGTGAAAAATAGCTAACATATTGGAAAACCCATCTGCACAGACAGCATTACTCATACACATTTGAACTGCTTCTCAAGATGTCCACATTGGTCTGCTTAAGACCCAAGCTCCAAGTCATTTTCTTCACTGATTTTCCAAACCTGCTGCAACACACTGACACCTCGGCTCTCTAGGGCCATAAGGGCATTCATAACCCCCACTATTTACTTTCTTTTTGCCTTTTTCTCTCTGAAACCCCCCAAACCTTGTCTCAAACATTTCATTTTATGGTGCATAGATTATAGCTCAGATGTCTAACTAGCAGTTAGATTTCAAACAGCAAGTGAACTTGAACCTTGTGGGCCAAATGCCCAAAGGGCCTCCTCCCTCTCCCTTAGTTGGCCATAAAAGCTATGCAAAGGGAAACAAGACAGGTTTATCTCAAGGCAACCCAACTGCATGCTACCTACAGTCTGTGTGTAAATTAACTAGATGTGTAAACAGGTCTTAGAACATTCAAAACCAATGACAGTGCTGCGGAAGGTGGTATCTATGATAACCCCTTGACCTTGTGAACTCATTCAGGGCATATAAGGAAGGAGAACAAAGGTATCCAGGCCAGCCGACAGTTCTGATAGCCTGCGCTGACTGCTTCAGCCTTTGGAATAAATCTCACTTGCTTCTCAAACCTCAGTATCCCGTGGGTAATCTTCCTGAGCAAGCCTTCACAGGGCTTTCCCTCAGCCTGGCTGTCTGGACCCACTCCCTCCCTAGTGGGTGACTGGCCACACCCCTAATCATCTTGACTTTCACCTTTTCAACTCATGCTGCCAGACCAGTAAGCTCGGCTACAAAATAACATTAACCTCAACATCATGAAGGCTTTGGCAGCTTTAAAATATTTTTTTTGATACCTTGGTATATAACATTAAATTATATGTTCTCTAAGAATATGTTTGGAGCACCTCAGAGCAGGCCCTGGGAGAGTTTAAGATCTTCACTCCCAGCGGATAAGTGCCCGCCCAGCTTCCAGCTACACAACACTGGACTCTGCAGGTTTTGCAGCCTGGCTAGGTCATGCCCAGCGACCTTCTTTCAATCCGGGAAACTGGGGCTGCCAAGAGATGAGTTCCAGCACACCAGCATGGCCCATGGAGAGTTTAAGATCATTGCTCCCAGTGGTTAAGGACCTGCCCAGCTTCCAGCCACACTAGACTGGGCTATGCAGGTTTCCTGGCCTGGCTGGGACAAGCCCAGGGACCTTCTTTCAATCCGGAGAACTGGGGCTACCCGAGTTGAGTTCCAGCATACCAGCGTGGGGCCCCAGGAGAGTTTAAGATCATTGCTCCTAGCAGTGAAGTGCCTGCCCAGCTTCCAGCCATACTAGAATAGGACTGGGAGGTTTTGCGGGCCAGATCCGACCATGCCCAGTGAACGTCTTCAATCAGGGGAGCTGAGGGTACATGAGTGAGTGCATCAGTGCTTGCCTGGGAAGAGCTTTGGATCATCACCCACAGTGGTTAGGAGCCCGCTGGCCTCCTGGAACACCGGAAGTGGCATGGGAGGTCCTGGGGGCCTCACTGGACCATGCTCAGCAACCTCTATTCAGTCCCAGGAGTTGAGGGCATAGGAGGCGATTTCCAACACACCCAGGGAAAGCTTTGGAACATCACTTGAAACACAGAAATAAAGGAAAATGAGAAGACAAAAGACCAAAATGCAATCTAAAACCTCCAGCCCATCCCAAGAAAGCCTAGCAGCCATGTACATAAAAGAAAATATATGCCATACATCTGAAATAATAGCACCTGAAATAAAGAAGCAACTCTGGGAAACTTTAAAGGAATTCAATTTAGAAATAATCTCCCAGGTAAAAGAAGAAATGATAAAAGTAATGAAAGAAATGCTGAACACATCTAAAGAAGACACAATTAAAAAACTAGAAGAGCAAAGCAAAAATATAGAATCCCAGAATGAACAATATAAGAAATAAACAGAATACATGAAGCAGATTCAAAGAGATAATCAGGAAATCAAAAATTCCATTGAAAGTTGTTCAAAACTGCCTCAATGAAAGTGAAGATAGAATTTCACACCTCGAAGACAAGATTGCAGCTAGTGAACAGGAAAGATCTTTTAAAAATAACAAGGAATCAGAAAGTAACAATTCAATAGCTGCAAGGTGATGCAAATAAAAGCAACATAAGATTGATAGGGACAAATGAAAAAGAAGGGACAACGCAAATGACATAAGAGGCTATTTACAGAAGGAATAGCTGAAAATTTCCCAAATAAGAGAATGAAACTGACATACGGATTAGTGAGGCATATAGAACTCCAAATAGCTATAACCAAAATAAAACTACACCCAGACATATAATAATCACCATCTTAGAAATCCAACATAAGAATAGAATACTACAAGCTGTAAGACAGGTCACCTATAAAGGAAAACCTATCAGAATCACAGCAGACTTCTCAACACAAACAATGAAGTCAAGAAGATCATGGAGCCAAGTATTTCAAATCCTAAAGGAAAATGACTTGCAACCTAAACTGATGTACTCTGAAAAACTGTCCTTCAAAATGGATGGAGAAATAAGATATTTGCATGACAAAGAACAACTGAAGAACTTCATGATCACCAAACCAATCCTGCAAAGAATACTGAGAGATAGTCTAGATACACACAGGAAAAAACCACCAAGCAAGGCAGACAAACAGAATGGAAAGATAAATATGCAGTAGGAGAAAGATAATATGTCAGCAATAAAGCAATATATAACAGTTATAACCATTAATGTGGTCACAATTCACTAATTAAAAGAAACAGACTGGCAGAATGGATCAAGAAACAACATCCAACAATATGCTATCTATAAGAAACCCATCTAACTCAAAAGGAAACTCATAGACTGAAAGGCAACAGATGGAAAACAATACTTCATGCAACAGGAACCCCCAAAATAGCAGGGGTAGCTATTCTGTTTGCAGACCATGTGACTGTCAAACCAAGAATGATCTGAAGAAATAAAGAAGGTCACTACATACTAGTTAGGGGAAGACTTAAGAACCTTAAATATATATGCACCAAATTCCAGAGCACCCAGTTATACAAAGCAAGTATTAACAGAAATGAAAAATCAAGTAAGCAATAACACCATTATAACAGGAAACATTAACACACCAGTGACAACAAGAGACAGTTCAACCAGTCAGAAAATCAGCAAAGAAATAACAGAACTGAATCATACCTATGAACAAATGGACTTGATAGACGTATACCAAGTGTTCCATCCAACATCAGAATATGCATTGTTCTCAGCAGTACATGGGAATTCTCTAAAATAGACCATATACTAGCCCACAGGACATATTTAAGTAAATGCAAAAGAGTTGAAATTATCCCATGCATGTTATCAAATCATAGCTCCATGAAACTAGAAATTAATGATAAAAGAAACTGCAAAAACCCACAAACACATGGAAATTGAATAATACCCTCTTGAGCAATCAGTGGGTCACAGAGGAAATTAAAGAAGAAATTAAACAATATCTACAAGCAAACGAAAATACAAATCCAACTTACTGGAATCTGTGGGATGCAATGAAAGCGGTACTCAGAGGCAAATTTATTGCTCTGAGTTCCCACATCAGGAAAACAGAATGAACACAAATAAACAACATGATGTTACACCTCAAACATCTAAAAAAAGATCAAATCAAGCCCAAAGCCAAAAGAAGGGAGGAAATTATAAAAATCAGAGCAGAATTTTTTTTTTTTTTGTCTTTTTTGAGATAGGGTCTCGCGCTATGTAGTTCATGCTAGACTTGAGCTCACTTTGTAGCCCAGGCTGGTCTTGAACTCGCAACGATTCTCCCACCTTAGCCTCCCGAGTGCTGGGATTACAGGTGTGAGCCACCATGCCCGGCAAAATCAGAGCAGAAATTAATACAATACAGACTAAGAAAACGATCCTAAGAATCAATGAATCAAAGAGTTGGTTCTTTGAAAGAATAAATAAAATTGATAAGCCCCTAGCCAATCTTATTAAAAAAAGGAAAGAAAAAGCTCAAATTCATGCAATAAAGAATGAAAAAGGTGAAATCACTACAGACTCTGGAAATACAGAAGATCATCAACACCTATTTTGAAAACCTCTAAAAAATGGACAGATTCCTAGAAACATATAAACTACCAAAGCTGGGTCAAGAAGATGTTAAACTGCTGAATAACTCAATTTCTATTAACGAAATTGAAAATGTAATTAAGTCCTTATACAAAGAAGAGCCCAGGCCCAGACTGATTCACTGTGGAATGCTACGAGAAATACAAAGAAGATTTAATGCCAACACTCCTCAAACTCTTCAATGAAATTGAAAGGCAAGCAATTCTTCCTAAGTCATTTCTGGAAGCAAATACTACTCTAGTGCCAAAACCTGAGAAAGTCCCAACTAAAAAAGAGAACTATAGGCCAATCTCCCTGATGAACACAGATGCAAAAATCCCCAGTAAAATATTGGTAAACAGGATGCAGCAAATCATCAAGATTATATACCACGACCAAGTAGGATTCATCCCAGACATGCCATGATGGTTCAACATACATAAATCAATAAATGTAATCCACAATATCAATAGAGCCAAAAGTAAGAATCACACGATCATTTCTATAGATGCAGAAAAAGCTTTTGATAAGGTACAATACTCAATTCATGATAAGAACCTTATAGAAAATTGGAAAAATGGTCTTTACCTCAATATAATACAGGCCATCGATGACAAACCAACAGCCAACATCATATTAAATAGCCAAAAACTGAAGGCCTTTACCTTAAAATCAGGCACAAGACAAGGATGTTTCTTATCACTGCTCCTATTCAACATAGTACTGGAAATACTAGTCAGAGCAACTAGATAAGAGAAAGAAATAAAAGGGGTAAAGACAGGAAAAGAGGAAGTTAAATTACCATTATTTGCAGACAACATGATACTCTACATAGAAGACCCCCAAAACTCCATTGAAAGACTCCTAGATATAATAAATAAATTCAGCAATATAGCTGAATACAAAGTCAGTCAAAAATCAATAGCATTCCTATACAACAACAACAAAATCACTGGGAGAGAAATAAGAGAAGTCACACCCTTCACACTAGCATCCAAAAAAATGAAATACTTAGGAATTAATCTCAAGAAAGAAGTAAAAGATCCACAGAGGGGAAATTATAATACCCTGAAAAAAGAAATCAAAGAGGATCTCAGAAAGTGGAAAGACATTCCTTGTTCATGGATAGGGAGAATAAATATTGTTAAAATGGCCATTCTCCCAAAATTGCTATATAGATTCAATGCAATCCCAATAAAAATACCATCAACATACCTCATAGATCTAGAGAAATCACTCCTAAAATTCATCTGGAACCAGAAGAGACCTAGAATATCAAAGGCAATTCTAAGCAGCAAAGACAAGGCAGGAGGCATCGCAATCCCTGACTTGAAGTTATACTACCAAGCTACTATAATAAAATCAACATGGTCCTGAAGATCAATGGAATAGATCAGAAGATACAACCACAACTACAAACACACTCAACCACCTTATCTTTGATAGAGGGGCCAAACATGTTCACTGGAAGAACATCAGTCTCTTTAATAAAAGGTGCTGGAAACACTGGCTGTCCATATGCCAAAAACTAAAACTAAACCCATGCCTATCACCATGTACTAAACTAAAATCTAAATGGATCAAAGATCTGAATATTAAAACAGAAACACTAAATCTGTTGGAAGATAAATTGGGTAAAAATCTTGAAGTTATAGGGGTAGGTAGAGAATTCATGAACGGGAATCAAACTGCACAGGAAACACTTCCCAGAATCAATAACTGGGATCACGTCTTATTAAAAAAAGTTTCTGCATGTCAAAAGAAATCTCCAGCATAGTGAAAAGAAAATCCACAAAATGGGAAAAATCTCAGTGAACTGTCCCTCAGACAAAGGACTTCTGTCTAAAACATACAAAGAATTTTAAAAAATCAAACCACCAAAATTCAAAGAGCCAATCCAAAAATGGGCATCTGAGATGAATATACAGTTCTCAGACGAAGAAATACAAATGGCAAATAAATACATGAAAAAATGTTCATCATCATTACTCATTAGAGAAATGCAAATTAAAACCATGCTGAGATTCCATCTCACTCCAGAAAGAATGGCCAGGATCAAGAAAACAATCAACAACAAATGCTGGAGAGGCTGTGGGGAAAAAGGAATGCTCCTGCGCTTTTGGTGGGAGTGTAAACTGGTACAACCACTGTGGAGGTCAGCCTGGAGATTCCTCAAAAAGCTAGGCTTGGAAGTCCCATTTGACCCAGCTATTCCACTTCTAGGCATATTCCCAGAAGAACTGAAAACATCATATCACAGTGATATATGTGCACCCATGTTTATAGCAGCACAATTTGTAATAGCCAGATCTTGGAAACAACCTAAGTGTCATCAACTGAGGAATGGATAAAAAAGATGTGATATTTTTATACAATGGAATACTACTCAGCTATAAATAGTGATCACATTGAGATATTTATAAATAAATGGACACAACTTGAGACCATATTCATAAGTGAAATAAATCAAACTCACATGTATAAACAGTGTATAGTCTCCCTAGTGTAAGAAATGGTAAGAGTACATTAAGATTTTATGGTAATCATGATTCCCCATTACACTGCTTTGAAGCCTTATAATGTTTTCATTCATTAGTTGGAATGATTTTATTCTGTTTTGTTTGATTTTATTATCTGTGATGGTATGAACAGCTATTTTCACGAAAACAAGACATTATGATAGCCATTGCTGATTTAATATCATCTTGCTTTGAAGTCCTACCATGCTTTTGTTCTTTGGATTTCCATTGGTTCTATTATGTTATATCTTATTGGATTTTAATATGTGATAGTATAAACAAATTTTTATGGAAAATGAGATAATATAGTAGCCATTGTTCATTTTTGGTTATTTGGTTCTTAATGCCCTGTAACGCTTTCATTCTCTTGAATGGTTTTATATTATTATGTTTGATACTATTGTATGTGAAGGTATGCTCAAGTATTTCAAAGAAAGAGACATTATGGTAGCTACTGTTGATATTGGGTTGTCTTGTGGTGAAGTACTGTGTTGCTTAAACTGTTCTGATATGCTTTGTTCTGTTCTCTTTTGTCTTAATCTCTTTAAAATAAAAAAAGACTATGTTTGTTAGTCTTTTGTTTGCTATAGTTATTTTGACAACAGTAGATGTTCAATGTGTTGCTCGACTCATTATCTACTTTAAAAAGTATAATCTTATTTAAACTAGAGTAAACCCTAAATTTAATCAATACAGAAAACACAAAATCAAATCAACCAACAGGATTCTATCAGCCAACATTGACTAAGCATCTACATGTTCTAGGAGCTGTGCTTTTCAATGCAAATAAGGTTCAGTCACTACCCTGGAATAATCACAGCTGACGGTGGGAGGGAGACTCACGCACAGGTTGAGTTAGCATTAATATACTAGGCAGTAGTATACAGAGGCTCCCAGAACAAGTGCTGTGGAGGGCCAAAGCTCAGGAAGTCTAACATCCTTGGGTAGTGAATCCCACGTCTCTCTTCTTTCACGTTCCTTTCTGGCAAACATGCCATGACACATTTCTTCTGGTCTCTCATGATATTTCACCAACAGACAAGTTTCTAGAAAAGTTAGTAAATTCTGACAGCCATTAGCTGTCAAAGGTTTTTCATTCAATACAGACAAGAACTTCCCCACCTACTCAATGAATGTAAAAATGTGACCATTGGCAGAGGATGTCAAATGACCTGGAGATCAGGATTTCAGAATAGTAACATAATTGTTCAATCAAACTTAACAGAGATAATAATCTGAAATACTGACCATAAAAAAGAAATGTGACCTAACATCTTGAAAATGTCTCTTTCTCTCATTTTTGGCAAACTCAAGAGGTCAAGCTGGGCAAGGACAGACATCCTGAAATAAACAACTGTTTTGCCTTTCCAGCACATATATTCTACTTGTTTTGTTTGTTTGTTTGTTTTTATCGGTACCGGGGATCAAACTCACGACTGCCTGCTTGCAAGGCAGGCACTTATGCCGCTGAGCTAAATCCCAGCCCCTCTACGCTAGTTCTAAAATACATATTTTTTAAAAACACAGAAAGAGAAAAGAAGAGAGAGAAGAGAAGACAAGACCATACTCACTTAGTTCCTTTCCAACTGCAGCTGCAACGCAGTTATTAGGGATTTCAACCAAAGCACTGATCCCTTCAGAAACATATCAAACAAAAGTTAAATCAGTTTTTTCATAGATTACATCAAAAATATTGTTTTATGCCGTCATTCCCCATAAGTGGGGTAACAAGAAAGTACACACATTTTGCTACACACATCCTCCTTTGCTTGTTTACATGTGGAAAATGCTTGTTCACTAAGATTTTTCAAGGCCTTGGAAGACACAGAACATCTTTACTGTTAGGATAAAGTAGTATATGTAACCTACCTCACTGACTGGGATCCCATATGATAATCACCATCACCCATTTATAAGATAGCAAGCTCAAAAGATGCAAAATTACAGGCTGGGGATTTAGCTCAGCGGCATAAGCGCCTGCCTTGCAAGCAGGCAGTCGTGAGTTTGATCCCTGGTACCGATAAAAAGGAAAAAGACAAAAAAAAAAAAAAAAAAAAGATGCAAAATTGGAGCTTTCCCTCTATGTAAATCCAAGAAGGCTGAGCACCTCCCTGGCACTGAGTCAGTGTGACATCATGCAACAGCTATTTGGTCTGTATCTTGCTTCCTGGCACACAACTGCTAAAATCATTTGGATTTCCAGACACGGTATCTTTTTATATGCCCAGGGGATGACTGATAGCTACCAGTCCCTGAAATGACCAAGGCAGGATTAGAGAGACTTTTTACCTCCAACTGCCAACCTCCAGGGAAAGAGAGGGACTGAAGATGAAACTGGTCACTAGTGTCCAATGACTGAAGCAATCACACCTAGACAATGAAGTCTCATAAAAATCCAAAAAGGCAGAGCTCAGATTTCCTGCAGCCCGATCCGTTGTGGCTCCTGGAGGGTGGCACACTTGGACAGCGTGGAGATCCCAGTCACTCTCACATGCCTCCCCCTGTGCATCTCTTCATCGGCTGTCTTTGTAATATCCTTAGTAACAAGCGGTGGCCTGAGTTCTATGAGATGCTCTAGCAAGTTAATTATAACCAAAGAAGGGTCATGGGAACCCCGATTTATAGCTAGTGGGTCACAAGCTTGTAAACAGCCCCTGAAGTGGGGTGGGGCAGTGTTTGGCACTGAGCCTCAACCTGTGGCATCCAACAGTCTCCAGGTGGAGAGTCCACAGGATGTCCAGCTGGCACCTGCTCCTGCAGGCTCTGTGCATGTTGTCCCATGAAAGCACAGGAGAAACTGAGACTGAGACTGTTACACCTGTGCCAACAGCCACGGCTAAGATGACTCTAATTAGCATACTTACAGTCAATTAACACATTTATGAAATTTCCTGTATTATTGACATAATCAGATTTTACATGCTACCGTATTTCATTTATTTAACATAGAGTTTTTTTTAAGGTTCTTGTCTTTGTTCTGTTTAAAAGACAAGTTCTCACTCTGTTGCCTAAGCAAGCTGCAAACTCTTAGGCTGCAGTGATACTTCTGCCTCAGTAACTGGGACTAGAGGAATACACCACTAGGCCTATCCTTGGGTTTAGCATTCTGAGTGTCTTTTCATACCTAAATTATGAGATTTGACGCTAACCTTGTGTGAGCTATGTTATAATTACTTACTTTGTCAGCAAGAATTAAAGAGTGGATACATGAAAACCAATACCTGTCAGCAAAAAAACTATTCATTTTTCCATTATGATATATATGTAATTTAATATATTCAAATTTGGAGAATACTCTACTATCTGCTGACCCCACCTGAGAAAGACTAGTGGTGCTGCTGTGATTTGAACAGCATTTCTGGCCCAGCTTTTCCTCTATGTGGGCTTGTTTCATCGTGTGTTTTGAATCCTCCATGTACAAGAAATAGAGGGTAGTGGCGGAGGAGAAAGCAGATGAGCACAGCAGGAGAAGGTGGAGAAGACAGGCAGATAGGGTCATGGGTAACAGAAAGACAGTTTTAAACAAAATGTTTTATTAAAAATGCTGACTAGCTGGGCATGGCGGCACACACCTGTCATCCCAGTGCTCAGGGAGGCTGAGGCAAGAGGCCTGCAAGGCTGAGCCCATCCTGGGCAACTTAGTGACTTGGCAACACCCTGTCTCCAAATTTTAAAAGGGAGGGATGTCAGGGTGTAGCTTAAGGTAAAGTCATAGGTTCAATTCCTAGTACATCCAAAAAAGTTCATTTAATCATCTAAAGTAGAAGTACTCACTGAATATGGTTACTTACAATTTTCAGAACTGAAAAAAAAAAAAAAACTAATTTGGAGCTTTGTATTTATGAACTTTCTGAAAACTCACTTGTCTTTCTGGAGTCTGTCAATCATGGCTCACAATTACCTTAATTTGTTCTTACCTGTATCTGAAATGTGGCTGGTCTTACACAGGAGCTCTAACTTTCGGTTCCATACACATAAGTCATTCCCACCAGACAGCCACACCTCCAGTCTCTGAAGAACAGTTAAACACTGCAAAATTGATTTTAGAGTTTAGAAACTCAAGCAAGCGTTACAGGGTAGTTCTGCATTACGTCCGCAAGTTCTCCAAAAATCCCTCCCTTGGACAAGTGGAGCTTATTTTTTCTCCCCCTAAGTCAGTCAATTGTCTGTGTAACACTGTCCTCTATTCCTGACACTAGTTTTACGGGACTAGAAAGGACAGAGGGATGGTGCGGGGTGGGATCCTCCTGGTCACCAATTAGATTACTCACTCAAGGGTGAGGATCCTGGAGCAGCCATAGGAGAGAGATCCACGGGCCAGGAGCTGGCCTCCGGGCACCATTAGCACTAGCAGGCCAAGCAGCAGGGCAGCCCAGCAGGAGGCCCCTCCACGCCACACACAGGCCTTGAAATGACAGAACCTAGGCTACACCCACCTGGCTGAAACATTTCCTATTCCTGACTATAGACAGATAATAATCCTTTATTGCTTTAAGTCACTTAGTTCTGAAGTAATCTGTAACTCAGTAATAGAAAATACGTACTAGTTAAGCCCCTTTTAAAATACAGAAAATATGACCTTAGTTTTAATGTTTTAAATGAACTATCCCTTGATTCCTCTCAATAATTCTGTTGGGAGCTCAGGAAAACACTTGTTCTGTGGGCTCTGGAGGCACTTTTTACCTTCAATGGCACTGTGGTCCACTAGACCCAGGACAAAGGCAACACCGAGGGAGTGAAGAGAGAAGCTGGGGTTTTCATGGTCTTACCTTGGCGAGGGCAGGGCTGCTTTAAAGCCAATGGAAAAAGTGCTGACAATAATCGATACTGGTCATGTTCCTCAAGAGGTCTAACCTTTCTAACCTCTGGATTTTTAGTATCAGTAAATTAACATTTTAGCTGTCGGGAACAATATTGCTCTGAACAGTCACGTACAAAGTGTAGAGTGGACATGTTTTCATTGCTCTCAAGACCATATTTAGGAATTGGATGGCTGTGAAATAATTCTATGTTTACCAATTTGAGGAAATCCAATGTGCAAGGTGACTACCATTCCATAACCCGCCAGTGATGTACAAAGGCTACCGTTTTCCATGTCCTCATCAATACATGTTAGCCCTGTCTTAGCTATTAGCCATGCTGGTACATATAAAATGGGGTCTCAATTTCACTGCTGACTTGTATTTCTCAAATGGCTACCAATGTTGAACTTCATGTGCTAATTTCCATTTGCGTAAATTCTTCAGAATATTTAATTGGACTGTATCTTTTTATTGTCGAGAGTTCTTTGCATATTCTGGATAACTCCTGCTAGACACATCCTTTGCAAAGATTTCTCCTATTCTATGGATTATCTTTTCACTCTCTGTAGTATTCTTTGAAGTGCAAAAGATTTTCACTTATTGAGGCTCACCTGATCTTTATTTTTTTTATCTTTTTGAAACAAGCTTTCTCTGTGACGCCACACTGGGCTTGTACTCATGAGGGTTGAGCGACCCTGCCTCAGCCTTCCCAGCACTGAGTCTGCAGGCAGGCACCACAGCACCGGCTCAGCACCATGTTTACAGAGACTGTTCTGTCCTGCATCTTTGCTTTTGCCCTATATTCTCATCAAGGGGCAAGCAAGATGTCAAAGCAAGCTCATATTCCTGGAATATGATATATGATCCTTATTCTATGTTGACTTGCTAATGCTTTACTGAGGATGATATACTGTTTCATTATTTAACATAGTATAACTGGCATTTTCCAAACTCTTTTTATGTTCTGAAATACACATTACATGGGGGGGGGGGTAATAACAAAAGAACAGTGAATGTTTAAAAAAATTCAATGTATTACAATAGAGGACACATTGCCATTAGTTTCCCTCAAAATGGTCCCCTCTTGCACTGAACACACAATTCCGTTATTCTTGCCACTTTCTGAAGCAGTTTTGGAAGTCCTTCCCATGATTGACTTCAATTGTCCTGCTGGGGCTGCCTTGGCATTCCTGAATCCACTCAAAGTGTTTCCATTCATGGTCATTTTGAGTTTGGGAAGGAGCCAGGAGATGTGCAGTGCCAGATCCAGTGGGCAGTGGATGAGGACACCTGTCTTCCATGGAGTGGCACTTGGTGGTGACACTCACCATGCTTGTCACACCTCACAAAGGACAGGAAAGAGGACGCTGATTTCAGGAAGCAGTGAAAAGACAACAGGGAACACGGGCCGTCGGGCCATCTGAGGAAGGCGTTCTAAGGGTGGGGGCACAGCAAGGCATCTTCTGCTTGTAACTGGTTTAATACCCACTGTCTTTCACTCACAGTTCTTCAGTTTATGCACATGTGGGTGCACACACACTGTTTGGCAGTAAGATATTAGGGTATGCTCAATCAGCCAATTATAAAAGTATGTTTGTAATACCTTTCTGTTCATAAATATCTGCCCAAGTTCTTATTATTTCCTTCAAAGAGCTGCCTTGAAGTAGAATTAATAGGTTGATGCATACAATCACTTTTTTAGGTGCATTCTTAATACCAAACTGGCTTTTGGGAAGGGTGTATCAATTTATACTCCCAAAGAACAATATAAATTGCCAATTTCACTATTTCCTTGCTAACACCAAACTTATTTTTAAAATCCTTATTTTTACTAGCTCAAATATTATGAATCTGGATTTGATTCAAGAAACAAAGCCAAGTCGGGTGTGGTGCACATCTAATCCCAACTATCAGAAAGCTTAGGCAGGAGGATCACTGAGAATTCAAAGACAGTGTGGGCTACACAGTGAGTTCATGGCTATTTTGAACCACATAGCGAGACGCTGTCTCAAAAAAAAAGGCGGGGTGGGAGGGAGGAGAAGGAATAACTAGCCAGTGGTAGCACACACCTGTAGTCCCAGCTACTTAGGAGGCTGAGGGCAGGAGGATCACAATTGTGAGGACAGTTCAGACAATTTAGCAAGACCCTGTCTCAAAAATAACATGAAAAAGAGCTGGGGATACAACTCAGTGGGACAGGCCTGACCTACCAGGTTCAATTTCCAGGATTTAAAAAACAAACAAACAACTGAATCACTGAACTAAAGGGAGTACAATACTATCTTTTTAACAATTTTTTATGTGAAACAGGATCACAACAGGAGTAAACATACATAATTACCTAGTTAATTAATGTTAACTAAAACCTCTTTAAAGAGTATTTTTTAGATACTGGAATAAGGTACTGTTTTACTGTATCTTAATTCCTATACCTAACTCATGAAACAGCTCCCAAAGGAGTTTCCCTGAAATACACATTTTTCCTCTTTGCCCCTTTCTTTGATTCATGTGTTTTCATTTGAAACCTGCTGACCTTAGTTTTTCAGGTAGTAAGAATTATTTTTAAAGGAATATAAAAGTAGCATCTTTTTAGATCACATAACAGAGATATTTGTTCCTCAAAAAAATTCCATCGTTAAATTAGATGCATGACACATCCTTCCCCGGAAACTTTACTAAATTGGTATTGTGACATCTTAGTGCTGTGAGGTGCTGCCAAAGGGGCTGGTTTTTTTTTTTTTGTTTTTTTTTTTTTTTTGTTAGGAAAATAGTGATGTAGCCTAGTGGCATCCAGCAATTCTTTTTACCTTAAAAAAAAAAAGTGTTAGCTCAAGTGTAGACACTGGCTATCTTTAAAACAAATTAGGAAACATCTCATTTTACTAGTCTTTTTCCAAACTGGCTAACATTAAAAAGCAGTGTTACCTTCCCAGAACATTTAAGGTTATTTCTTCTTACAAATCACAACCAAGGTTTAGCCATGTCTGTGTTTTAGCACATAGCAGAGTTCCTACCATATAGCCCTGACTGAATTTACAAACTGAGTGAACCTAATAGTAGAAGACAATGAACCACATAAGATATTTAGTTTGGAAGCTAGTACCTGTCACCTCAGAGAGGGTAGAGCTCAAGGGACAAACAGCTCTACATCTGTAGCTCAGAGGATAAAGAAAACTGTTCAGTCATTTTTCAAGCGGCATCTCTTCTTGTAGCAGAAGGTGCACCCTTCTCCTTAGCCAGTATTCTGTCACTTTGCTAGTTGCCCAGGTAACGGTTCCAGTTCCAGTTCCTGTTTCTTTTGTCTGTTAGAAATGGCTGTCACTGTGATGCACAGCTGGTCACTATGATGAATATTGTGAGAACCACTCCCCAACTGACAAGCCATTCGGCCTCTGCATTTCCCGCTTGCTTAACCATATAAGCCTGGACCATCAGAGATCAGGGCCTGATGTTTCCGGAATGCTCCCAGTCAGTGCCTGTGGACATCAATAAATCTGCCTCCAAATCCTGGCTGTCATTTTGGTGTTTCCACTTGCCACTGCATTGTGGAATTACCAGTTAAAGACAGGCCATGTCTTACTTTTTCTTCATTCTGCTGTAGTATTCTAATTTCCAACTAAAACATTCTAACATCTAAAAGCATAGGCTCCAAAAAAAAAATCTAGCCTGCAACTCAAACCAGTGCAGGAGTGTGTGAAAGATATAATTTTAAAACCTACAAAAGTAATTTCACCTAATTTATTAAACCATTTTTTTCTGAAACAAAAACCAGACACAATTAAAAACTCCTATTTGCTTGAGATTTTACCTTCACAGTAGACTGGAAGCACGATAATCTCCGAACTTGGCTGCCAGTATCACAATCCCACACCTAAATTTATGTTAAGAAATGAATTTCTAAATAGAATTTGAAAGGGTTTTGGCCCAGGCCGGATACTGTATCCGGTAAAGCCAAGGAACTCCTATCTTCCCCCACCCCTAGGAATCTACCTCTGGCGCCAAACAAAGACCAATGGGCTCCCTGTGCATCCCTAATGCCCCCCTAGGTTCCACCCCAAGCCGAGGCTACTTATGTGCCTCACTCCGCGTGTTCCAGGGAGAGATCGCCAGCCCAGGGGTGGAGATGGCACGCCCTCGGGGGTGTCTCTCCCTGCATTCTCAAAATAAAGGTCATTTATATTTCATACTTCTTATCTTTTCAGCCACCAGTCCTCCCTCACAGTTCTATCAGAATTTAAAATTGTAGTTATTAGGCAACTTTTCTAATTCACAATTAAATCACAAACGCTAAACATTCAGCTAGAAAATCTATAAATGAAATATGAAATATTTAGTATTTATACTATCATGAATATTAATTCAGATAGTGAGTCATCAACTTACCAGAACAGCTTATGATCCAAAATAAACTTGAGGTAAATTTTACTATCAAACTATTTAAAAATGCCACCAGAATAGTGGTCTGATGTGCTGAATCTTTACAGGCATTAAATACTACTCTGATCCCATTTATCCTCCACAATAGTCTGCCATAAACATGAACATAAAGTATTTCTACCAAGAACTGTCAAGTCCATTAATTAACATTTCCTAAAAGCTCCCTGCAGTGCCACTGGCATGGTTAACAACAATCATCTCATTCAAAGCACATACAACAGTGGCTTAGTATAATCTATATGTGTGTTTAAAACAACAGAAGGCCTTTCATAAAATGTCCAGAGTTAAGGTGACTTCAGAGCCTTGATAAGCCTCTAATTTTTATCTCCTATTATTTCCTAAGGTAAGAAACACATTGACGTCGTCTGACTTGATACATGTAAGTACGAACTTATATTTAAAAAACAGAAATAAATTTCATAAAGTAACCTTAATATGTCCAATGTCTTTTTTATTATATTCCATTTCATTCCTTATGAGAATTAGACATACAGACACCTATGTATACATCTATGCATCTGTCATGCTAAACACACTGCTGGCACTCAGCGCTCCTTATTAAGCCAAGTTTGCTGGCCTTACATTTATCACAATTCTAATACTATCTTTCACTCATTTCAGTTATTATTGCAAAGCTAAACATTCAATGCTGAACAATTTGAGCTCTTAAGGCCACTATAGGACAAAAATTTTAAAGATCTACCTTCAGCAGTTAAGGAAGCACTTAATTAATAGTGAAGGCCCAAGCAGAATAAATTTAGAGTTCACTTGGATAAAACAAACTGCCAGCTAAGTAGCCTTTTTTTTTTATCTTTTTTTTTTTTTATTGGTACCGGGGATCGAACTCATGATCAAACTCACAACCACCTGCTTGCAAGGCAGGTGCTTATGCTGCTGAGCTAAATCCCCTAGCCCCCAAGCTTTTTTATCTTTTTTTTTTTAATTTAAAGAGAAAAAAAGAAAGGACATAAAAAAACAAAGCAGTAAAAGGGCACAAGTAATATAGAATTTCAAGAAAAAAAATATACAGTAAGAAATCACCAGTTAATAGGTTACATATTATCTTCCCAGAAACAGCTGTCCAAATTACAAAATTAAAGCATATAAAGTGAACATTCATACAGTGATACTGAAGACAGTTCCATTCAATGATCCAACAAAAGCTCAGTAATATGGTTTTCCATCCTACACACTTGAACATACTTGTGGTTATATCCCTTAGTCCACCTTAACTTTCCTCTCTTTTTTACAATAACAATTAGACTTTTTGGGTTTTATTACTTCCACAGTTCTTATTACTTTTTTTGAAGAGAATAAAACCAAACGTGACTAAGCAAAACAGTCAGAACTAAGCTTTTTTATCTTAACAAGTCATTCAGCAAAGGAAATGACTCTATACCATTATAGGTAAAATTTACGCTAGTATTATCCCAGCTATTCACCTCTGTACTGTAACAGTTTAATAACTGCCTCAAAATACTACTACAGTGTCTTAGGAATGGCCTAATATAGAGAAAGTATTTTAAATTATACTTTTGCAGAGACTAAGAAAAACAAAACAGATAAACTTTATTCCATAAAATAATATTTGCTTCAACACAATAGCAGTAAAAATGCTATTCTGTCCTAAACTTTATACCTTTAGGTCATCAATTGGTCACACAAAATACATTAATTGATAAGCTCATTTAAAGTCTGGTATTAAGCATGTCTTGGTTCTACAGAACCCTAAGAAATAGTCTTTTGGGTTTACTCCAAAATTTAACATCACTAATGGTCCAAATTGTTTCAACAGAACTTTTAGATAAGCAAAGATATTTTTTAAAGCCAATATGGCACCTTAAAAAAAAATTAAAAGAACAGAGTTATCCAGAGCACTTGGTCATGGGCTTTACAAGTTTAGTTCCTCATAAAAGTTATTAAAGGGCTGAATCTGGTAAAGAAGACACTTTATGAAGACAATGTTGGGTCAGAGGTCTAGTTTTGCAGCCAGACTGTTAGTCATTTCTGCTTTACGCTGGCTGTGCACTTTGGAGAGGATACTTAACACTCTCTTCACCTCAGTTTCTCATCTGTAAATGACAATAAGTGCCTCTTTCAAAGGGCTATTTCAAGGATCAGATGGGTCATCATATGTAAAACACAACACAACACACTAGGCCCTTCATTAAATTTTACCACTGCTGTTATGTCTCACTTCTTACTAAAAGTATGGGGAAAGGAAAAGTAACTTTATAGAAATTGCTTTTAAATACTGAATGTCATTATTAAAAACTGAGTACTTTTTTTTGTAGATTTTGAAGCTCCTGGGTTGGAGCCATTAAGTTTCTTTTGCTATAAAGGAAGGAGTTAAAAATATGAATTATTCTCTAGTCCAACTCATCTTCATTTCCTTAAAGCAAATTGAGATAATCCAATAAATATTTTTAAGGCCACAAGCTCCCATTTCCTCCGTGTTGCAACAGTAACTCTGGGAAGAACTGCTTCAGTCATGAGGGTTTCTACCAACACAACCCTTAACCTCTATTTCCAATACTTTTCAGATGCCTAATACTTTTAAGAAGTTCTTAGGAAACTAGAAAAAATCATTTTTGCCAGGACAAAAAGGTTCAGAAAAACCCCCAGAGGCTACAGACTAATAATGTATGTAAGGCCCCTGGGGGTCACGGGCTGCTTCACTTCCTCCCAGATTTAAGGATACAATAACTGTTCGGTCAGCAGAGGCCGTCAAGATGAGTTGATTTTTTTCTTCACAAGATTTCAAAGAAGGAAATGTAGTAATAGCTGTTATCTTTTGAGTATGTCCACTGAGTTCCAAAAGCTTTTCTCCTGTCTGAAATACCAATAAAAATGTTAAGAGGCTCATCATTCCAATTTAAATAGTATTGAATGACAACATTAAGAATGACTGTGCAGACAAGGCATTAGCTCAGAGACACAAGGGCCTGCCTGGCAATGTGCGATTGTGAGTTGGATTTCCAGTATCCAAAAAACAATGTGCAGAAAATACACACATATTTAAAAATTACTTACTCAGAACTTACAACTTTAATTAAGCAATCAAATAGTATCTAAACATGTGCTAAAAGAATAGTCATAAAATTTTCTTATTATTTTTGAACAGAAAATCTAATTTAAAGGAATATTTTTCCTATGATTTTAAGACTATATAGTAATTATATAAATTAAGTAATAAAAACATTATCAATTCACTCTGTAGGGAATTGTTGTTACCTACCTCTGCAGTTCTGGAAGAAAATGTCATAACAATGGTGTGTACACGTGTGTTACACTGATTGATCACCCACTTACAAAATTAGTCTCCACTCTATCATGTGACACCAACATGTATTCCCACTCATTCAACAACATTCCTGTTAGTCTCTAACTCATGTACCAAGCAGTAAACATACAAAAATGAAATGTAAACGGCATAAATTACAAGCTTTTTCAAGATTGCAGGATTATATGAATATTGTGGAAGTACCTTGGCCCTCTACACTCGCCAGTTCTGTACGTACATAGTCAACAAAACTCAGATTGAAATGTTTTCTGTGTACTGTGTCTAAAAGTACACAGCCTTCTTTTCCTTTAAAAATAGTGCAACAAGTACTTGCATAGCCTTTATATCTCACTGGGTTGCATAAGTAACCTGGAGAGAATCTGAAGGGATAGATTCCATGCAAATAGCCACAAGTTCTGGCGCTTCTCTGAGGCTGGGGAGACTGGGATGTTAAAGGACAGCTTCAGTACAGGCAAAGCCACTGAGAAATGAAGACCTGATAGACCAGGCAACAATCCAAAACAAAAGTACAATGAGGATAAAATCCTTACAAAGGGAGTAATTTAAGAAAAAAGCATCAGGAAGAGGGCCTGGAGAAACTTAGTGATGTCTTTAATAGTTTTGAAAAAGCATACTTTCTATTATATTACTAGTCAAATAAAGAGAAAAAAAACTGAGGAGAATGACAGATGATGCCACCATACAATGCTAAAAGAATTTTACCTTTCACAAAAATCAACATTTGATAGCTGCTTATGACCTAAATTTTGTTTAGCAAGAATAAAATTTTTATTTTCATAAGATGATATTTATTTTTCAGGAAAATATTTTAATAAAGATATTCAGGTATAGTGGCCCATGTCTGTAATCCTACCATTGTGAAAGGCTGAGGCAGAAGGATCCTAAGTTTGAACTTAACCTAAACAACTTGGTGAGATTCTGTTTCAAATTTTTAAAACTTTTTTTAAAGCTAGGGATGTAGCTCAGTGCAAAAGCCTCATGTGTTTAGTCCCCAGTCTTTCTTTGTCTGCCTCTCTGTCTCTCTCTCTCACACACACACATACACGCATGCACGCACGTACAAAGAAATTCGTCTCTATACTGGTCCCCATTTTAAATAAATTTATCCAAATCACTCTTTCCAGGTATTATTTAGTCTCAAATGATAATGACATGCAAACATTCTGGCACAAAACATGAATACTAACTATGTGGTCATACATTTATTACTTAACCAACAGATAACCCATACAAACCTGAGCATTCCACACAATTACAATTCCATCGTCACCAGCAGATGCAAATCTGGTTAGAGAAGAAAAGGTCACTGTTGACATGAAATTGGTAAGATTAACTAAGAATATATTAATAGTATTTGGCCTGACATTAATGAAGTCTAAGTTCTTTAAGCTTAGTTGACATTTATTAAATACTTCGGAGTTTTGTGCATAGACTTAAGAAGCCAAAGATATATAACAATTTACAGGATAAAAGAATAATCTGCTAGAAATGTAAAAATGAAGGAGATATAAATATGATCTTTAAAGTCCTTCTTTGCCTTAAAATTCTGTGATTAATAAGAAATCTTTCATAAATGAAACAAAACCAAGTTGAGAAGCAGCTTCCCTGATATAAGGGATGATTCAAGGATGGAATGGAATCATGTCCTTAGTTTCACTGTTCCTATTATTTCTCTATGAAGATCCTTGAACTCTGTAACCCACAGTTGACACCTTGCCTTTGTTCATTTGGCTCCTCTGTCTTCCCACACATACGTATGTTGTTGGTTCAGAAGGAATGGAGCTTTTCGTTGGTGTTTTTTAGTGAGATGCTTGAAATGCAAAGAGGTAAAGAAAAGTCTATTTTGTGGCATAAAAAATCAGGTGTGATAAACTCTGTCTTACCTCTCCTCTTCACCTGCCATTATCCATGTGTAAGTTCAGGAACAATAATCTATGTTCTGTAGAGTAAATGTTATTTTTGACACAGATACTATCAAGCAAATATTTTACCTAACGGGATTATTTATTACATTGACTGCATTATAATAAAATCAAGAAAGCACCATTCTCAGGCAGAAATTCAATACAGTGTTATGCACCATAATTTATAAGCATGTAAAATCATTTATCAAAAACATAGTGCACAACTTTGTAAATGAATTTTAATGACTTAGAATCAGTTCAGAGTCTTCCCCATAATATCACATCTACTTGAATTGAGGTTTAGTTGTTTAATAAGAGTAAAAGTGGTGCTGGTATTGACAGCCAGCTATGAAATGCTTAGCACTGTCCCCTTATGGTTAACAAACAGTAATAAACAATATTCTCCTAACACCCAGGACATGCAGAAACTCTGTGGTACTTCCTTGCAAAGCTGCTAGCAGGAATCACTTGGATGTGTGCACTCAAATACTGCTGGATGGACACGTATCACTGAAGAAGGGTATTCAATGGAAACACTGGACACAGAAATCACTCTTTCCAGGGAGCATTGGTGCACACGGAGTTCACCCCTATGGTAAACCACAAACTCTCTGACTTCACCATTAACACCTCCAAAGCTAGCTTCCAGTTCCAATTTCTCACACTCAGTTTCACAATCCCCAAGTGCTGTCCAGTACTCTGTTCTCACATTACAACCCTGTGATTAGATCTTCTGTGAGAGCAAGAGGTTATGAGCGAATAGGACACTGGTCAGTCAGATGGAGACCGTTAATAATCTTTAGGAATGCATTATCTATTTTTTAACAGAAAGGACTTTAATTAGTGAGTTAGCTCTAAGGCACAGAAAGATTTAATTTAAAATCTAAGCCTAACATTTCTTATTTCAAAATGAGATTAAAAAAAAAAGATCTGGAGATTTTTAAAAAAATGATCATTTTAAGTTAAAGATATAATTTCCTGTGCTTACTTACATACATTTGAGGAATCTAAATACTAAATAGTGCCTTGAGTATCAAAAGCAGTTGCTGGAAGTCAATCTTTAATAGCTCATGTTTCTGGGCTATTGATTTCTTCTTACTTATAGAGTGATGGCAAGGAGGGCAGGTCTCAGGGGCTTAAGTTTTCTTTGGTATAAAACATCAATTTCTATTGATTCTTTAAACTCTTGTAATTGCTTTTCTCCCACTTAGAAAGCTGCAGGTTTAAAATACATACTTTTTTCTAATCCAGATATTTAACTTTCTCACTTTTGTTTCATGTGTAGATCTCACAATGAGAGATGACTAAACTGTTACGAGTTTAGAAATGAGATACAGAGCATTTCACCTCAAACTTTAATTCAATCAGCAGCAAACAAAAGTTAAATCTGAACAATGCTCAACAGTAATGCATGAAATCACAGTCAGTTTTTATTACTCAGAGATCAATTATCCAGTTGGCCAGCCTATTCAGGCCTTTCACTTCTCTAATGTATTCTATTACTGCCTTTTTACACTTTTTATCCATTTCAGTATTTATTGCTACCCTTTCTATAAAGAAAACATAGAGCTTTAAAATGCAAGCCAGTGTGACTTGGCTACATATTGGTAGCATAAAATACCTAGGGATGCACTCACAGGTTGCAATTACCTGTCTACTACAAGGGATAGCTAAAAAGTAGCTGCACTGTTCAGCTTATCTAAAACCAATCCTAGGAACTCAAGCATGTGCTTCAATCAAAAGTCAAAATTCAACCCAAGAATTCCTAAAAGTAAGATAGTAACTGCTAAAGGTAAGGAACAAGCTATATAAATTAATAATTAAAATGTCAGTAAGGTTCTAGTTATTCAATGAAAAGAAAAATGGTGCTAGAACATTTTTATATGATTTTTTTCAACTCTCTAGTAGAATCCAAGATTTAAGCCTAGGTGTAACATTTTGAGAGAAATGCGTCTTTAATAATTAGCACAAAATATATTTAATGCAGTTCCAGGCTAGGATTAGGGAAATGCCAAGATGAACTAACATGCAATTCTTGCCTTGAGAGCTCACAACTGAACAATTACTAAGAAATGTATTTCAACAAATCTAAGGTATCATCAATGGTCAAACTCTCTTGTTATTTTATGTATCATTAAATAAAAATGCTGCTAAAGACACCACCAATTATATGGCCTGTCCAAATCCCAGAGATATTAAAAAAAGGGCAAATGCTTCTTAGAGTCAATAAAATATAGTAATTATCGTATTACTGATCTTTATAATATTTCATTTTCTAGTCTAACAAATCTAGGATTATCTGAAAGGTTCAAAGTGCTGAAGAAATGCTTATTCAATGAACAAATGAATAAGCAAGTATTTAACTGTTACATGGTTCTATGAAATATATTAATGGCTTTAATGTAACCTTATCATTTCCTTTTGTTATTATCAGTGTATGAATATCTGTTAGAGGAAAAAATAGGAAATTTGAAATTTTTAAGCCCTAAATTCTACTGTAAAAAATTCCTTTCACTTTTTCATATTCTCATCCAATTCTTATTTCCTTTAGGTTTTCTTAACTTGAAACCAAATCTTCATAATTCTCAACTACACAATTAAATGACTAAACCAAAATTAGATGCAAGAAAAAAAAGTTTAACAAGGTGAAGTACACCTTGAAGAACTATAACAGATCTTCTAGAATGTTCCATCCTCCCCTCTACTACACAAACTAAATTTAAGCCAATAATTCACTCATTTATTCAAAATACATTTATTATATAATTATACACATGATTTATACTAGAAATAAAAATCAGTAAGAGATGGTACTTGCCCTTCAAGAATTCATGGTCTAATATTACTATAAGCTACAGGGTCTAGATCATGAGTTCATGGAGAATTCTATTTCAATTTATAGAAATCATTTGCAGTAAACATTTTCACTTAGAACATTTCAGAAAAAGTCAAGTGAACTAAAGCACACTTTGCCAAGTGTGCTATGAAAGTACAGCACAGTTCACAATGACTGATCTAAAATAAAATGAGTTTTACTGGATCTACTATCTAAATGCCCATTTAATAGTTCTTACTTATGTGAAGCCATTTTAATCAATTCAAAGGTTCTGCAAATTCAAATATAATTTTTTTTTCTTTTTGAGACAAGGTCTTGGTTTGCAGTTCAGGCTGGCCTTTAGCTCACCTTGTGGCCCAGGTTGGTCTTGAATTCACAGCAATCCTCCTGCCTCAGCCTCCTAAGTGCTGGGATTACAAGTGTGTATCACCATGCCTGGCTGTTCAAATATAATCTTATAAGACATACTAAAAAGCACTGCCCATAACCCTGAACATAAACCTGCCTCTATTCAATTCCTACATAACCATAAGTAACTGCAAAACTAAAAACAGAACATAATCATGGTAGAACATTAGGTCTCAGTGGTTAACTTGCTACTTAATCTGCAAATACTTTTTAACCATGACAAAATATGGTATTAAAATAACCTACAGTTGAAAATACGATACTAGAAAACATAAAAAACTGAAAATGTAATTTTCACTTTAAATTGATTTTTGTTTTTATACAATTACTTGAAGAAAATTATAGAAGTACACAGACAGACAAGAGAAGTTGAAGTGATTTTTTTCAGGAGCCATGCATGCTAATACCAGATTCTCTCATGAGATCTTGAACCTAAACTTTTTTCTTTGATGAAAAGAAAAATATGTGGGCTACAAAAAGAGTTCAGTGTGTAGTACCTGCATAGCATAAGTGAAGTCCTCAGCACTGCAGAACAAAACAAAATATCTTAGGTTAACACAACTCAAAGTGTAAGATCTGTTTTTGTTCACAAATAGAATGAAAGAAGGAGAGCTCTGCAGATCTCACTGGTACCTGCTGCTTAGTTACTTTCTTGTTGCTGAGACAAAATATCTGACACCCAAAGCAAAAGGAAGAAAAGCTTATTTGTTCACAGCTTGTAAAGGTTTTAGTCTATATTTGCTTGCGCCAAGGCAAGGTGGCACAAAGCAGAGGGGCAACAGCTCTTGGAGGAGAAAGACAGCAAAAGCAACAAGGGAGGAGCAGAGAGATAAGGACAGGCCTCTTTCCATCCTTTATATTGTATGTAGGCTACCTGCCCTAGGTAATCCCAGCACTGGACCATGAATCAATCACATATTTTAGATTCAGCCAACTCTGAAAAGCCTGCCCTGTGCATGAGCTTTTGTTTTGTTTTGTTTTTTGGGGGGGTCATTCCAGGCACAAACCATAACACCTACAAAGGTAAAATCTCTGATAAATCTTTCCTTCCTTCAAATCACAAAAAGAAAAGCTAACAGACACATCGAATTACAATATCAAAACACCCCCCCCCCCCATCCCTGTGACTCCTGTAGAGGAAATTCCACTTCCCTGAGC